AGTTTTGGAAGCAAGGGAAGGCTGCCGATACGTTTCAGACATTCTGGGTCGGCCTCTGCGCCTTCGATGTCTGCAGGTGCTGTGGAGGATGAGAAAGGGCAGGAGCTGGATGTTGATTTTGAGGAGTATGGGTATGGAAACGGGAGCCGGAATGGTAATGGTGGGAACGGGAACGGACACGGACCGCGGAGTCGTACAGGCAGCAGCGCGGCGTCGGACTCGACAATGGACTCGTCTACGCGTCGCGCCATCGCGCGTGCGAGGGAACGGAGCAAAGGCAAGGCGCGGCAGGTGATGGGGATGTCCTGGTCGCAGAGCTTCACGCTCGACCTTCCAGGCGTCATCAGCGGTAGCAGTGGGAACGGCGGGAAACGGAAAAGCAGAAAACGTCGGTCAACAACGAGCGGGTACCTTCCACAGCCGTCCTCGCCACTATCACCTGGATCTCCTTCTGAACAGATCTCGAGCTTCGCTGCTGCAGACCCACCGTCACCAGAAGGCGCCCGTGCACGATGGGACACGCATTCGCATTCTCCGCGACAACGTCACCAGCTAGATCACCCGCCATCGTACGCTGCCTCAGTATCCAACCGCGATTCGAATGGGTCATCAGCGTTTGCGGGCCCCAGAGCGAGCGTTCCTCGGTCGGTATCACAGACTCCAGAGAACCGGACCCCTCAAACCGCCCATGCCCCAATGCAAACACCGACGCAGACGCAAACGCAGGATCCGTCGACGTCGCCAGTCCAGCTTACTTACCCACGCGCACAAACGCACCAGAGACAGAGCAGTCAAGGGTTCTTGTTGGCCGACGAGGAGGATAATGAACCCGAGCAAGGCGGAGGCGCTCCAGAAGGACAGGCAGAGACCACATCAAGGGCGCTTGAGCGAAGAGATAGTCGGCCCTTACCCCGACCACCATCTTCCCTGTACTCCCAGTCGCCTGCGTACACCCAATCGCCGCCCTCCACATCGGAAACCAAAGGCGCTGCCCACTCTCAGCACGCGAGCCCTGCTGAAGTCGTCCCACCACGTCCACTGCCAAGTCCAGAAGGAAGAGACAGATCGAGCAGTACAGCAACAGAGACAGGTCCATCGGGGTCTTCGTTGCGTCAAGTCATCCGTTCCCTCCGTCCAAGGACCGTCCACGCTCAACCTCGCCAGGCTAGCTACGCCTCGTACGTGCACCTGTACGATCCGCCGCGTTCTGCTGGGCACGAAAGGACCTACTCATCCTCGCTGGGATCGGAGGCTGATTTCGCATCTTTGTACTTCTCTTCTGCTGACGTACGCCCTGCGTCGACAGTTGCGGAGGAGGAAGAGTCCACGGAAGGTCGGCCTCGCGGTGGACCACCTGTGGACTCACCGACGTTGGGCGGGCATGAAGTGCCGGCCCGCGAACCCCCATCTCCTTTGATCCAATCACCACTACCACCGCCACCACGAAGAGCTGATGAGAGAGAGAGGACACCAAGGAAACCTCTACCCAGGACGCCGACGGGTACAGATTACGCATCGGCGTCGTCATCTGAAGGAGAGAAGGAGAAAGAAAGAGAGGAGGGTGTGGAAGTGGAAGTAAAGGATGGCGCTTTCCTTGATGTACGCCAGACCAGTCCTTTCCGGGTTGACTTTGGGTCAGACTCTGTGCGGGAGAGGCCTAGGTCGGCGTCAGTGGTTACGCGGCCGATATCGATGGTCATACCACCGCCCACCACGACGACGGGGCAGGGTCACGGTCAGCAGACGACGACCGACGATTCTAGCCCCGGACAGGGATACTCTACCGCCCCGTCCAGGCTGAGCGAGAATCGGCCTTCGAGGCGGTCGTCCTTGGGCAGCCTATCAGCGGCTGCGCATCAGGGCAGGATGCCAGAGTTCGTGCAAGGGACGTCGCGTGCCCCGTTCAGGCTGACAACCATGACAATTCCGACGTCGGTCACGCCGCCTAAGAACGACTCGAATTCGAGTTCAGGCGGTATGACGGGCACATCGTTCCTTGACCTGACAAGTTCGAGGGAAGGTTCGGTGAGCTCACGGTCCAAGTCGGTCAAGACAACGGGTTCTGGCCAGTCGGGTTTCTTCGAGCGGCCCTTTGGCGGTAATGGAAATGGGAGTGGGAGTGGAAGCGGGAACGGGAACGGGAAGGGCGCTTCAGCTCTGGGCGGTGATCTGAAGTCTCGGTGGAGCAATACCACTGTCCCGAGTGTTTCAACTCGTGCGAGCAATCTTGGACCCGTTGCTGAGTCCTCGGTACCTGGATTGATTTTGCCTGAGAGGAAGAGCACCGGGCTCGAGTCCACGCAGTCACAGATGGCGTCTCCGAGCAAATCGGCTGAGATGGACGAGAGCATGTCGATCGCTGCGTCAAGTACGTTCCCAATACCTGGTGTCCAGGTCAACATACCACCGTCGCCACACCATATCATGGACTTCGGGACGGTGCAGGATGAGCCGCAACCACCGCTCTCCGCTCTCAGTGCTGCTCCATCTGGTGCTGGTTTCCCGACAAGCCCTCTTGATCCGGCGGACAGTCAACGTCTTTCCACTCAATCCCAATTCACGCATGCCACGAACAGCACTGGCCTATCTCAGGCTGGTGCCCACCTACATGTTCACCCCGCCATCGACCTCGATACGCTCAGCACTGGTAGCGGAAGCGGCCCGTCTGCACGAGATCCTCAATCACCCACCGACAGCATCCCCGTTTCTATCCCTATTTCCGACCTCAACTTCATGACTTCAGACTCGGATCATGGCCTCTCACAGCGAGATTCGCGGCGGACAACGGAAAGCTCGCTGGCGTTCCACCATGCGCTGCTACACCCCGGACGACGGAGTCCAAGCCCAAATACTGAGGGCAGACAGGCTCAAGGTGTCGGTCGCAGCCAGCCTGCCAGCCCTTCAGCCGTCCAGGCGTTAAGGTCGTCATCGGCGGATCCATTACGAACATTTACTCCTGGCCCGCGTAGAGACTCGCCTTTGGCGAGCAGGGCACTGGGTCTACCTACGCCTTCTTCGACCATGACCTTACGAACGCACGGAGGACGCTCTCCGCATCCTTTCGCTAATGTCTCTTCCGTTCATGACGGTGATGATGACGATGACGACCGAAACGACTTTGGAAACACGCGCCAGCATTGAACTTAACCCCAGTCCTCAATATCAAGCTTTGCCTATACCCTCTGTATTACTTCACATCTCGCAGTGTTGTCTTGCTTTTTATTCACCATGATGAACTATTTCTCGGCGGGATTTTCTCTTCTTTTTTGACCTCAATTATCATCATCATTTTTCTTCAATTCATCTGGAAGTACTATTGCACATGCATTCATCTCATTCATTCTCCAGTGCTTTCGACTGCTTTCATTTTGCGAGAAGAACTATCTTTCACATTCATTAACTGTAACACTTGTATCCTTTATTCCTTTTGCTGTTGTTAATGAGCCAGAGGGAAGCATCTACGTACAACTACTCACGAGTTGCTCCTGATCTTTAAGCGCCTACTTGAACTGATGGGGTTTCGCTACAAGCAGTCGACACTTTAGAATATTGTAAGCGCACAAGTAAGATTACCAGAAATTTGAAGATACGAAATCAAAAACGCCCAAAACAGAGCAGCAAGTCGCATCGACGGATCGGAACACCCCGAGTTGGGGCTTTGCTTCATGGCAGCTCAGTAGTATCGATTGTTATCAGTCGCCACATCAGTCGACATCGTGTCCACCCCCAGTGCCGCATACAAGACTCGCGCTAGGATGAATGAGGCATGTGTTCACTGCCTTTCTAGTTTCAGTTCGCACTCATACGATGAATACAGAGAAATGGAACGGAAACAAATGGCCTAAACGTAGGACCAGGAGATAACACTGAGCACACTCATGTCTCATCGACTGTACCTGAAGTCGAGGTACTGCAAGTTTTCTTCCCGCTAAAAATCTCACATTTTCGAAGGCCTACACCCAGGTTCAGCCCGAGAGGCTGCTTAAAATTACAGGTGGATTTTTTTTCTTGATGTTCTGACAAACGAACAACTGCCAACGGTCCCCAGATTTTCTCCTCAAGCCCCTAGGCTCCTCGGAAGAGACTCAAAGTATCTCTGTCAACGTTGTTCCTCCTGTACTCGTGAAGATTGAACACGGAGACTCTCTTCGGGTTCAGTCCATGCCTGTCGCCTTGAAGTCCAGGCCAACTACCCCGCCCGCGGTCGAACTGTGCGTCGCTATTCCTGAACACAGGTCTCTTATTCAAACCACTCCAATCAGGCCATTCAACACTGTCCGATGCGCAATTTGTATCTATTCAGAGCTTGATGTATTTATGGGACACGTTGAACTTGGAGAAGAGGATGTGGTCGTATTTCAGAAGGAGCAGCTAGATCCAGACTACAAGTGCCGTATGTTATTTCCTTCTTTACATATTTCCATGCAAGCTAACCTCTGGAAACTCCAGGATTTGATCTGGGGGCAACAATGGTGAACGGCTGCGCGCCGTGTATGATATCATTTACAATGGCCGCAGGGATTAAAGAGAGAAATAATCAAGATCAGGCGGGTAGTATCTCGGCCGCCACTGTCAACCCAATTCACAATGACGATGCAACAGCCGAAAGTCCAAGTAATGCCAGTGATAAACAGCACCTATTCATATTACTCTTTGGTGAGAAATCCTAGTTCGTAAAAGATCCTGCAGAATCCTGAAAACAAAACAGAAGGTGACGACGCAGAAGTGTGGGGCCCCGACCTATTGAACAAATGCGGAGACATTTTCTACGAGCGCATTGCAAATGGAAACGCCAAGGAAAACCTCAACAACTGCCTCAGATCATACGACCTCGCTTGGCATATGCTACCTCCCGATGCCCCCGAATGTCCAGCCTATCAGTTCGACGCCGCACTTGCCTATTATAACCGTTTCCAACTTTTCGAGAAACTTTCCGATATCGATCATGCACTAATACTGTTTCAAGCCGTTGTCGATGCAACACCCAACGAGGATCATCGTCTACCATTTCGAGTGCGAACACAGGGTCTGGCATGGGACGCACGTTTCGAGCGCACGCAGAACCTTTCGGATCTATCACATTCAATATCGTGTCAACGAAGGGTGGTGCAGCTGCACCCCGAGAGTGACGCTGCCTTACCAGGGCTTCTAAACAACCTCGGGGTGGCCCTCAACACACGCTTCGATGAGAGCGGAGATTTGGCCGATTTATCAGAAGCCATATCTTCGTTGCGGAGGGCGCTTGCATTGACTCCTTCCGGAGACGACAACTTAGCTTCGATGTTGGGCAATCTTGGCCTTTTCCTGCAGAATCATTTCGAGCATATGAGGGACCCTGCAGATTTATCAGCAGCGATATCGTCATTCCGAGAGGCCATTAAATTGGTCCCAGCAGACGATGCCAGTGAACGACGAAGATGGCAGAGCAGTCTTGCAGTCGCATTGCGACTGCAATACGAAAATGGCCGCGACGATGCTGATCTATCAGATCTATCGGAATCTATCGAAATCCTCCAGGAAGTGGTCAAGGACCCCTCAACCGGTGACGCTGACTTACCTACACGATTCGGCAACCTTGGACTATCGTTACGATGTCGTTTCGGAAAGGAGGGTTCCATCACAGATTTGTCACAAGCGGTGTCTTCGTTCCAAAATGCCCTTGACTCGACGCCGGAGAACGATTCAATTTTACCATCTCGTTTGAGCAACCTTGGAGAGTCCTTGCGCCAGCTATTCGACCGTGAAGGGAAACAAGACAATTTATCGAAGGCGTTGTCGTTGCATCGGCGTGCGATTCAGATTGCAACACAAATGCATCACCCCGATCTACACATCTACTTCACAAACTTTGGAGTTGCGCTAAAGAGCGCCTTCGTTCGAAGTGGGGATCTGTCTGAATTATCCGAGGCGGTATCATCCTTCCGAAAGGCAATCACTGCCACCCCACCCAGTCATCCCGATGTGTTATCTGGACTGACCAACCTGGGAGAAACATTACGAACTCGCTACAATCGCACTGGTGTTCTCCAAGATTTGTCAGAGGCAATATCTACATTAGAAGAGGCAACTGCAAAGTCTTCTGATACCGCTGTCAACTCAGATGTGGGGGCTTTCTTCAATAATCTCGCAGTCGCATATCTGGAACGCTTCAAGCTCATGGGAGAGCCACAGGACCTCTCGAAGGCTATCTCCTCCCAACAGACAAGCATAAAATTGACACCTAAAAACCACCAATACCTGTCAATCCAAGTGAACAACCTCGGCCTTCTTTTCCTGCAGCGTTTCGATAGCAGCAAGAATGATAACGATTTATCTGAATCCATATCCTCATTCAAACGTGCGATAGAACTCAGTCGAAATTATCCGGACTTGCCAGGATGGATGAACAACCTCGCCTTGACTTACCGACGGCGCTTTGAACACGCTGGAGATCTGCAAGACTTGAAGGAGGCGATAGAATTTCATTCAAAGGCCATTAGTCTTACCCCAGCGAATCATTCATCGCTATCTCGCTGGTACCATAGCCTTGGAGTTTCAACACAGGCTCTCTTCGCACGTACGAACGACGCTGCGCTAATTCTGACCACCCTCTCTCATTATCGTCGAGCGTCAACTTTCATCACTGCAGTCCCTTCGGACCGCATGCGTTCGGCCAAGAAATGGGCCCAGTTCTCAGCGCAGCATGATCAATCACAAATGCTCGAGGCGTACGGCGTTGGGATCGAACTACTCTCCGAATACGCCAGCATGAGCAAGACGGTTGAAAGTCGTCATGCGAGTCTCGCCAATGTTGCCGACCTAGCGTCGGCCGCAGCAGCAGCAGCTATATCAAAAGGACAAGATGATTTGGCGCTTGAGTGGCTAGAGCATGGCCGTTGCGTCGTATGGACGCAGCTCAATCAGCTGCGCACACCGTTAGACGTTCTGGGCGCTAAACATCCGGAGATTGCCGAGCGGTTTCGACGCGCATCTGTTGCTCTGGACCAGGCGGGGTCAAGGGAGATCGATCCCACCTCGATATCAAAGAGCATGGAGAAGAAGATCTCGCTCGAGGAGGAGGCAATTAACCACATGAAGCGTGCCTCTGAGTACAATTCTCTGCTCGAAGAAATCCGTCATCTGCCAGGGTTTTCCGATTTCCTTCGCCCTCGTAAAGCCTCCGAAATATTTTCAAGGTTGCCAAAGAACGGTGTGATGGTTCTCATCAATGTCTGCGAGGAGAAATGCCATGCTATGATACTTTTTCACCAACCTGAAATCCGTCTCGTAACAATTCCCCTTGAGCGCACGGGCTGGAAGTGGGCAGTAGACTTGCGCTCCCGCTTGATGGCATGCCTGTCATCCAGAAGTGTGATGCGAGACTCGGGGGTAGATAGAGCCGGGCATCCGATGAGAACAACACCTCAAAAAATTCGTGCCATTCTCCGAACACTTTGGGTAGATCTTGTGGGGCCCATCCTCGATGCAGTTATTGGCTGTCATGTAGGTTTCTCATTCTATAATTCGAAATTTTCATCCGGAGCCTGATATTTTTTCTTCAGACACCGAAGAAGAATCTTCTCCGTATCTGGTGGTGTGCGACTGGCCCCCTGGCTTTCCTTCCGCTTCATGCAGCCGGCATCTACGAGGAAGGCGGAACCTCTGTTTCTGACTACGCCGTGTCGTCTTATGTGCCGAATATCAGCACCCTCGCTGAAAAAAGCAAGGCAATAGACGCAACTCCTAGCATTTTGCTTGTTAGTCAATCGACGGCAGAACACATGGCCCATATCCCCGGAGCCGATTCAGAAACCAAGATCATATTCGACCTGGCACGGAAACGGGACCTTGAAGCATTTCGCCTTTCAGGCAAAGACGCCACAGTCAGTGAAGTGCAGGACAAGATGCCGATGTATTGTTGGATTCACCTTGCCTGCCATGCCACACAATATCCTCTACGGCCACTCAAGAGCGCATTCCACCTCCTCGACGGAGAACTAGATATTTCGGAGATCATCAAGTTGAAAATTCCAGGCGCCGATTTTGCTTTCCTGTCTGCCTGTCAGACAAGCACAGGAGATCAAGAACTTTCTAATGAAGCCGTACACCTTGCTGCTGGAATGCTTGCTGCAGGATATCGGAGTGTCGTATCAACAATGTGGTCCATCCAGGACTCTTATGGACCTGAGGTGGCAGAATCATTCTATTCACATTTTTTAGAAGGAGCGGGGGAAGATGGGAAGCCGTGGCCCAATGGGACGGGTGCTGCATATGCCTTGCATCATGCCGTTCAATGTCTTCGACGGAGACTTGGAGACACAGACCTATCCCTGTTGACATGGGTTCCGTACGTTCACTTTGGAGTGTAATCGTTTTGACACTTATGAGGTGTTTGCCCGTGTGGCATGGGGAGAAAAGTAAATTTCCGCTGTATTTTTCTTGAGGTCGCTCGCTCGCTGCGCAGGAAGATGGATTTCAGAAAATAATACTTGATTCGAGCACTTGACTCGAGGCCGCTCGCCTTCGCCCCTCCGTAGCGCGGTCGGGCCGAGCGACTTCCGGCGGCTTCGAGGGAAACTTTCGGTGATAGCCGTTTGATAGAATCGTTCTCAACATATTTATTTTCACTCTTGACTGGAACCGTTTCCTTCATCTTACTGAACTTGTCGGTAGACTTCATTCAGGATCGTCTTCATTTTAATCGTATCAGAAAGCACACAACGCCATCAATGGACAACAGCTCATGCGATACCTGTAGCTTCAATTTTTGCACCCATCTCGGAATCGGCGAAGAAGCTTTCGCGCTTTGCACATCTTGCAGCATCCTCGATGGTGGACCGTGCACGGCGTGCCTCCAACTTAAATCCCTCCACCAAAAAATCAAGGATACAAACAAGCTTCTAGGAGAGTTGTTGAGGGAGACAATTGGTCTCAAGACTCAGAGGAACCGCCAGCACGACCGCCTCATAACCCGACTTCCGGTCGAGCTCGCATCCCGCATCTTCACCTTCTGTCCACCCTTGGTTCGTTCACACACGTTCATAACTTCGTTGCTACTGATATAGACGAAGGATGCTCAGAATGGCGAGTCTAAAGGCGCCAAGTCAGCTCACCCTTTGCGCCTCTCGGTAGTCTGTCGCAACTGGCGGAATGTCGTGCGATCGACTCCGCAACTGTGGAGCTCAATAGTCGTTAACGCAAACCGAGATGACACGGGTTATATAGATTTCATAAAGGAATGGTTTCGTCGTTCTGGGAACCTTCCTCTTTCTATCAAACTTTGTCGCACCTACACCTCGTACAATCGGTTGGGTCACGACATAACTGCTAGCCTGGCTGCGATTCTCGATATAGTCGATCGTCAAACTGGGATCGGCTGACGCACGGTCACCTTCGCTCCACCACCGTCGACTGTTTGGGGCTCATGCGCAATTCCCATGCCATGACACACCTCGTCCTCGAAGACATGATCTATTATCCTGCTGAGACGGACGCCCCTCTATATCCCTACTGTCGTCGAGCATGGCCAGCTTGGTTGGCAGATGCGAGGGGAACAATTGATGTTCGCTTACGGCCTTGCCTCAGCCCTCTTTTCGGGTCCCTGGGGTACCAACCCTGACTCCCGCTGACATAAGGACGCAAACTCGGCCGCTTCCCATCTTTGGAAACAGAGCGCGAGCGCCAATGTCGGGCGTCTGTGCACACCCCTACCGAGTGAAGCGTGTAAGGCATGAAAAGGAGGTTCTGCAAATATAAGAATGTTCTCAGAATATATCCTCTCTTACTGACACTCTTCTTGCCCATAGAAACAATGCACAGCGGAGGCAGCAAGGAATGGCTCGGGGCGGTTAAATCACTACACGCAACTCGCAGATATTTCAGCCTTAAGTTATAATACTTGGCTGATAGGGCCTCGTTCGACCAGTCCAGTGATTGCGAGGACAATTTATTATACTTTTTTACCATCGGTCAAGTGCATGCTGAGACGATGACCTTGTAGCTCACAAAGTTCATCCTCGTCTTATTGAGTTTGACCACGCTTGGACCACGCCCGCAATGGTTGATTGAAAAAAAACACCGAAGGACACAAATTTAAAGCTGTAGATGCTAAATCATCCTTACTGGAAGCTAGAATAGTGAACGACCGAGGACGGCAAAGGACTCGGCATCACCCTGAGAGGTGCACGATCTCTCATGACGTCGATGTCATCCCGCCCTTCCTGCGGCGCCGACACGCTAAAAATTACCCTGACTGATTGCCGGACAGGCTCCGGTCTTTCCGTCTCATAGAGGGGGGCTGACCAAAACACGTTGGATCCTCTGCAAATTTTCGGATATTCATCTTTCGAAAGTGTGTGTCATGGCACATGAATTTTTGGGAAGAAAAAAGGGCGGGATAGCCCGAATCGGAACTACAGACCCCAGATACCGGCTTCGTCACAATTGATGCCAGGACCGAATAAGCGAAATGACAAGTGTCCATCACAACTGACTTTGGCAAACGAAGCTGGCCATGCCCGACGACAGTAATCCCTTAACATTCCTCGTTTCGATCACTGAAGATCACTTCATCTCATGGAACCAAATTCTTCCTCAATCGAATAATGCTACCCTCACTCGAGGACCTTTCGATTGAAGATGACTTGGACTTGACTGCGGTCACCGATCTTGTTCGCCGTGGTTCGCGACGCATCCCCCAATGTCGAGCATCATGTTGTCCACCTCCTGGAGCATACGCCTGCATTGGTAGAACTGACTCTTCAGTGTCTCATTGACACAGTTGCTGAGGCGCTTTTTCAACGACTGGGACCATCAGGCGTTGTCAACAACGGGCCCAATGTAGAGTTCCTTCCTCTCTTACACACTTTGACCTTCAGGACCAGGATGAACTTCTCGTGGGTATCCGTAGTACAGATGTTGGAGATGCCTGGAGCTTTCAGCAGCCCTCGGTCAGCTCTGAAGGAGTTGAATCTAGTGGTCTATGGGAGCGCTCGTACCGATTCATCTAACGCTTCTTTACCCATCGACCAAAATACTTTGGCTCCCATCATGTCTGCACGACTGAGAGGGGTTCAGATATCAATTCAGGACAGTTACAACAATAACCTCTTGTCAAGTGGCGGCTGTGACGCATATGACGAGTAGAAGGCGGCCCTGCTAAGCCCTGCTACCATTCAAATGTCTTGACACTTTATTTTTACTCATCCATTTTCCATACCCTTCACCTGAAATTTCCATCCCTCAATCAGCATAGCCTTATAGTACTAGTAGTAGCACTTTGTAGTGTAATGAGGTCGGGCCCAGCCGGCGCTTGCCCGGGCCAGACAGACTAAGATAAAGAAGGCAATGGTTGCATTACATAATTCATCACGACCGAATGACCCGTCCTAGTCAGCTCTTGCATTGCTCTTGCTTAAGGCCCAATCCCTTCTGTCAGTATCTTGACCGCAACACCACGCCATCGTTAGGCGATTCTGCACAATCTCTCTATTTCCTTCAATCTCTCCATATCGATACAATGACTTCAGAGGCACTCGGCGAGGGGGCAGCTACTGGGCAAGACAGCCCTCCGGCGGGTAGCAGTGGCCTCAGCAATGGCGCCGGTCGCTCAACATCGAAGAAGCGCAGGATTCCTGGGGCGTGCGACATATGCAAGCGGAAGAAGAGTACGTCTCATCCATTTCCTTGATTCCTCCGGGATCGCCCTTATATTTCATGATCGATGCGGTTACAGTTCGTTGTAAGTTTGTGATACCCTCCGTTCATACACGGCCCTGGAAGACAGAAATCTCACGCAGAATTCGAGTGGCCAGGCAACAGCGGGGAGACGCCGGATAACAAGTGCACTAATTGTCTGCAGTTTGGTTATGAGTGCACTCACAAGGAGGTTACAAAAGTACGTCGCTGGCCTGTTACGTCTCTTTATCTTGATCTGAGGCTTGAATCGTGTGAAGACCCTAGGCTCAGCGAAGAGGTACGGCTGTCTGGTGTTGGTCACACGACTTGAAGCTGATTCAGCGATGAAGCTATGTGGAAAGCTTAGAAGCACGACTAGAGAAGATGGACCAACTCTTGAGCAAAGTGTGTTTCCCCGTTCTATGTCGGGTTTCTCTGATGTCAATTGCTCTCAGCTCCTTCCGGGCATCAACATCACGGAAGAGGTTGATCGGCTTACAGCCAAAGAAGAAGCGGAGCCAGAAGTCCTACCTCGGAACGACGACGACCATTTGGAGATGATGCTCACGCTGCAGCTGAGTAGACTCAAACTCAATCCGCCTGTGAATCGGTTTTTCGGCAAGTCAAGGTGTGAGGCATGGTGTTCATATTCCCAAGCAGTGACTAATCTCCGGGGTTTTAGTTCGATGCAGTTGGTATTGACAGCGTTGAATCTGAAACAAGAATACACTGGTGTGCCATTGAAGCCTACAAAACGGGAATCCGTGAAACGAAACGAATTTTGGAGCCTGCCCCCAGTAAGTAGAAGCCATGTTGTTTCGAGGCTCCTTTGACGTATTCTTTCATTGTCAGTGGGCCTCCAATGATCCCGACGAACCTCAGCCGATAGACTACTCATTCCCGCCTGAAGACCTCGTGCCATCGCTCATTGACGCATACTTCGTGGAATTCAACTACTTCCTGCCGCTCCTCCATCGACCAACGTTTGAGAAAGATGTTGCAGAGAAACTACACCTCACCGACCACATGTTTGCAGCAACTCTGTTGCTTGTGTGTGCATTGGGGTCGAAATACTCAGACGACCGGAGAGTGTTGGCGGAAGGGTCAGACAACTGGCGGAGCTCGGGATGGAAGTGGTATGAGCAGGTGAAAGTGATGAGGAGATCGTTGTTCCATCGCACGACGCTGTATGAGTTGCAGATGCTTGCAGTAAGACCTTTGATTTCAGTTGCTTCGATCTTAAACCTGACGATACGCAGCTGCATGTCATGTTCGCTCAGGCCAGCGAGACACCGCAAGGCATATGGTCAGAAATCGGATTCGCTCTTCGCTTGACACAGGAGGTGGGAGCACATCGAAAGAGGCACAGGGCAACGGAACCGAATGCGGAGGATGAGCTTTGGAAACGGGCATTCTGGTACATTTCTCGTCTCTCCTTTCATATCGACGCTAAGTCTCCTGAAAGGGTCATACTCTGCTTGGATAGACATGTCAGCTCGTCGTCTGGAAGAGCTTGCGGGTTGCACGATGAAGAGTGAGCTTGTCCGTTCGTTCTAAGCTTTCATGAACTGATGTCCTGATCATGTCACAGTTTTGACCTAGAAATGCCCATAGAGTGTGATGATGAATACTGGGATACCGGCTTTGAACAACCTGAAGGCAAACCATCTTCGATTTCGTTCTTTAACAACTATATTCGACTCATGGACATCTTGGAATTTGCTATGCGAACAATTGTAAATTGGAATCCTATGGTGCTCCGCCGCTGCAGACTTACTGATTTATCTCATAGTATTCTATCAAACGGCCTGGGACAGCATTGGGCAACACTCCACAGAGGTCGGAACAACAGCTTATCGCAGAGTTAGATTCAGCAATGAATAGTTGGATGGATGCAGTTCCTAATCATCGTAAATCAAAATCTCCGACGCCATCTCAATTCACACTGATGATTTTCCTCCATAGTCAGATGGAGTCCAAACCGAGAGAATCCTACCTTCCTTAAGCAATCCGCCGCGCTTCATGCAACATACTACTACCTTCAGATCTTTATCCATCGACCCTTTATCCCGTCACCGCGTAACCCAGCCCCAATTGCGTTCCCTTCATTGGCGATCTGTACGAATGCAGCACGTTCTTGCTGCCATGTTCTTGAAGCATATCACAAAATTGCTGCATTGCATTCCGCAGCGCTTCAAGTATGTGCAATTTAGCTTGACTTCAGGATTCGTTTGTCTGAGTCTCCTAGAAAACGCTATTTACCGCAGCCGTCGTTCTCCTCCTCAACATCTGGAGTGGGAAGCGTTCTGGGTACGCACCGAACCCGAAGAGAGAGATGGAGGACGTGCAAAAGTGTATGCAAATATTTAAAGACCTTGAAACGCGGTAAGCAGGCTGATCTTCCCGGACATCTCCTGATGTATGACAATCAAACGATTCCTGTAGGTGGGCATCGGCGGGGCGTCTATGGTTAGCTGACAAAGGTCACTCTCATGGGACAATGCCTGAATACCTAAATTTCCAGGGACATTCTCAGGGAGTTGGCTTTTGCAGGCGATGTATCGATACTGAATCAACCAGCACCACCACCAGCACCTACGCCTGTACGAAACAAACGACCTCGAGAAGCAGACGAATCAGAGTGTTCGACACCGACCTCTTCGACTGCCGATTCTCCACCTCCGTCGGCAACTGATCCGCCGCGCATGGCTGGGAAACGACGTGTTTCAATGAGCCCTAGGAGCAGTTTGAATGGCAGGCGGGCGACTTCGGAGGTTCGGCCGAATGTGTCACCTCTGGTCGCTCACAAGACGGAAGCAGCCCCATCTCCGACACCGCTCAACTTTTCGCTGCCCATGTACAGCAACGAACTCGGTAGACTCCCGATATATGGGCAGTTCAACTTCCTCGACCCCAGTGGATCACCAAGTCCGACCCTGTTGAATTCAGCGGCTCATCCGATGCCGATGGCCACTTTTGGAGGGTTTCCTGGAGCGAATCCTATAAACCCGGTGGCGGCTGGTCCCGGCGGCCCACAACCATTTACGTTCGACCCCTTTATCCTTTCGAGCCTTCCTGGGGCAGCCACGAACACGGTGGACACTTCACAGCCGACCTTACACCCTTACGTTATGGATGCCCTTTTTAATGGCCAGACGATCCAGAGCTTAGGGTTCATGAACCATATGAACTCGTTGCTGCAAAGTATTCCTCCTGGTGCCAATCCCAACCCACCTCTTTCTTCGATGACACCTGCTGATTTCGCCGCGCTCCTTGCAAACTCGGGGGGCTCCTTTGGGGGCGGAGGGGAAGCCAGTGGTCCTAGCGATATTGATGGTTCGCCTGCTGGAACAGAGGCTGTGCCTATGCCGATGGATTCGATTTCTTCGAGGTTTGGTACGATGTCCGCTATGGATGTTGATACCATGACAATGTGGTCCACTGCCCCGACGAGTCTCGAGTAAGTTTTCATGTCCTGATCCTCTCCAAACGGATTAAAATGAACATATACTGACATCCATTCCCTGTTCTCTAGGTTGGATGACTGGAGCTCTTACATCTCCAGTGTCGAGCAGATGACGCAAGGACAAACTCAAGCGGAGAGTTGAACCATCTTGAACGTGGTTGTTTATTATGAGTAACTTACGACTTTGCGGCGGAACTAGATCTCTCCATTGGATCGTATCATGCTTTCCCTATCTCTATCTTTTATATGTTATATACTATGCACAGTAAACCTCCTCTACTAAAGGCCTTCACCTGGCATTAGAGCCGGGATGAGCGGTCCGGTGATATGCTTTGTCAGCCTGCTTGGGCGGTTTAGTTAAGCTGCGAAAAAGCTCAACTGTTTTCATTAGGTCTTCGCTCCCCTCTTCTCTCCGCTGTGCACATCCACCGTTCTCTTTGTTGATCAATAATTTCGAGCACGCGGCTGAGAATTCCAGTTCTCGAAATGACGCGTGTCACAAATTTTGGGCTGAAACGGACGCACCTGCAGGCGGGTTTTGCCCCAGATGAACTTAAGCCGTCGGTCTCCTGCCCGACAACTGCATCTTCTCAGAATTACCACCAAAACGACGACGAAAATTCACATGAAGCACTGAAAGATCCTTCAATTCCTCCCCCAAAGAAGAAGAGAAAACGGACGCCGAAGTCGAAGAGGGATGGATATGCGACCCAGAAGGCTGCGGAGGCAGCTGGTGCTGGAGACGGGGGAAATGCTGTGGAAGACTCCGGTGCCGATGCGGACGCTGGTCCCGTTGATAAGCCAGAAGAACCAAAGAAATTGAGCAAGAGTGCAAAAAAGAAGATTCGAGAAAAGAAGAGGAAGGAGCAGTGTATGTCCACCTCCACCTAAGTTGACTTTGGTGCTGATGCTAGACGGTAGTTGTTTCTGCTTCCGAGTCCCGGCGTTTGAAGCGCATAAATGAGAAGCTGGAAAGTACAACGTGTTTTGCTTGTCGTGAGAGGGGTCATGCTGCTAAGGACTGCCCTTCGAGCAAATCAGGAGAGGCTGGGGCCGACGGTGGAAAGACGGGTGCTGTAGGCATTTGCTATAGGTACGTTCTGCTCGTTCTGATTATGCCTGGAATTATTTTCTAAATTGTACACCCTAGATGCGGCTCGAAGAAGCACGGTTTGTCAAGATGCAAAAAGCCCAATAATCCTGAAGACCCTTACCCGTATGCGTCGTGTTTCGTCTGCAGCGGGAAAGGTCATCTCGCCTCAGCTTGCCCCCAGAACAAAGCTAAAGGCGTATACCCAAATGGTGGATGCTGCAAGCTTTGTGGGGAGACCTCGCATCTGGCTAGGGATTGTACGATTAGAACAAAAAGTGAGTTCTTTCACTACCATCCGATTATGTAAGGCAGCCTCCTGATTGTCTATTCCGTGAAGTGGTTGATCCAGCGGCATTAGTGGGCACAGGTCGCGAAGGTGGTGCGGACGAAGATGACTTCCATACCATCAAGCGGACGACCGCAGAGCTGGATCGCGGCAAAAAACATGAAGACAAAGTGAAGCGTGTCCTTTCGGTCCAGACTGGTATCCTATCAGGGAAACCCGTATCCTTGGCCAACCCATCCCCTGCGAAGAAGAAAGTAGTCGTATTCAAATGACGAATTGATTTTGCCAGGTTACTCTTCTCCGTTCTTTCGTCCCTCGAGATCGATTCCTGCACATCCTCAGCTGATCGAGCACGATTTATTCAGCATGATCTCATCACCAACTTTCGACATCCGCAAAGCGACATTCATTTCCATGCCTTCTACAGACGGACAATGATTCGTTATGAGGAAGTCGCTTTAGGCTTTGGCGCGGAAGCTCTCCCAACCGAGCCACTCGTACGTCCAACCACAAACTTCACCAGGCTTCGAGCCTCGAATGTAGCAAAGCCTCTTCCCTCGATCGAGATGCCATATCTTTCCCAAGTCCTCCTCTGAGATGACCGGAATCTGTTCAGGACAAAGAAAGCCATAGCGTCTGCATTACATCATGAAACGGCGACGATGCGGCACTCACGGTGATGTTCTCCTTCTGTCTTTCATTGTTCTCACTCTTCGCGATAAGAGCGTCGCCACGAGATATGTGCCATGCGAAGATGACTTGTGTTGGAGTAACCTTGTACTTTTCCGCTAGGCTCACGATGAGAGGGTCATCCCGAACATCCGAGAGGCCTGAAGGCGAAGAGGAAGGGGAAACATTCAGTCCTTGCTGTGACGATAGTTAAGATCTATCGCCTCACCGCTCGGTGTATATGCGCATACAACAATACCGTGCTTGACGCAGTAATGCCTAAGTGCATTCTCGGCCAGGTAGGGGTGCATCCTATTGAGTCGGAATCAGCCTCGTGAATCCCAAAATTAAGAATCCGTAACCTACTCGACCTGGTTCACTGCAGGCACCACCTTCGCCGTTTTAAAGAGTTCCTCCAAGCTATAACCAGGGTCGTCAGCTGAGTTCTATATACGTGCAGTCGAGTGTAAGTCAGTTCTACTTACGTCTTGATAGAGAAATTGCTGACCCCAATAGCTTTGACTTTCCCAGTCTCCAGAAGCTTCTCCATTTCTGCCCACGAATGGTTGAAATTGACGCTCTCTGTAGTCCTGTGCGACCCGTCCGGGTTCATTGGCATGGGGTTTCCCTCAACGTATTCCAATGCGAAGGGCTAATGAATCAAGTACTGTTGCGGAGCATGAACACCAGTGTCGGTATAAAGCACAACATGTGAAACGAACTAAGTCGATGTATTCGAGCCCCAGTCTCGTCAAGCTTTCCTCAAATGACTCCTTCACCCGACCGTGGTGGCACCATCTACAGGATGAGTGAGTGGGTCGATCTATGTATTTAGCATTATAAGGGGATGAGGGCGCACGGGAGTTTGGTGGCAACGAAAAGCTCTTCTCTTGCAATACCGGAATCTCGTATAGCTTGACCGACGTACTCTTCCGTGGCTATTAAAACTAAGGTTTCTAGCACTAACAAAAAGTCGGTAATTAAAGCTGACTGTAAAGGTGGGCAGTGTCAATGTGGCGATAGCCATTCTAGTCGCTCTCGGTGAGCACAAGATGCGAGGAACTCGGTATCCAGACTTCAGGAATACCTTGAGAGCAGTCAAGAGCCAATCCTTTACCCTTTGACGGGACTCTAGGTCAAAAGATGAACTTGAAATGGACCCAGTCCCTGAAAAAAAAAGAAACCATCAGTACGCATCCGACTAAGACAGTTGCTGATCAAGCAGTGACGAACCAATTATGGGCATGTAAGCTCCGGTGTTGAGCTTGACTTTGAGGTCGCCAGCGTTCATGACTAGCTGAGGGGACTATAGAATCGATCTTGTTTCGAGCATAAAGCAACCGTTCAGAGGGTATTTATACCAGAGGATATCGTTCTAGACAATCCTGTTGTCTTTCCTCTACTACCCTTGATGTTAACCCTTCTCCTGCTTCTTCAACTTCTCCAGGTCCCACACCTTCTTCTCGACGGTCCGTTGGCTAAAGCGATGACGAAGCGGGGGCCGGTAGTCGGGACAAGCACTCGGACGGTGTGCTTTCCTTTGTTGATATCAGCCAAGCTGATATCTTGGTTCATGTTCATTTAGTATAAGGCCTCACGGAAGGTCCGCGTAGACCGAGGATCTGGAAGCGATGCCGACTTCCGGAAAGGAAATTGCGCCACACTGTTGACTTGGATTAGTGATGTGAAGTCCAATTTGATGAGTCGCATGGTACCATTGGAGTAAGTCGCTTAGAACCCTCCAGGAGGTACATTACTGCTAGTAGTATCTCAACTGGCCTCCAATGGCAGCGAAAATGGCAGGAGTTAGCTGCATTGATTGGGTTCTAATGTATTACATACTATCGAGATTGGGATACAGTTTTCACCCTGACTTTGAAACCGATGATCGACAAGCTCAAGTCCTCAATGAGTTCAAGTACCCACTTGGCTACGGAACCACTGGGCGGCAACCCGGACCGGGCCTTTGGTGAACCGTGACGTAATACAAGGTTTTGAACAGAACTTTGACCTTCGTTCTGCTTATCGGCACCATTATGTCACTGAACACGAAGATAATCTATGGAACTGCATGGTTCGGCGAAGAGATATTACATCCCGACACAATTGCTAATACTTGCCGTTCCACTTGCAGGAAGAAAGAGCAAACCACTGGGTTGGTAGTGAAGGCTGTTCTGAACGGATTTCGCGCCATAGACACTGGTAAGAGGTTTCAAGGGCATAGAAGCTATGCTGAACGTCGTGATCGCTGTATGCTAGCCTGTCAACCGAAGCACTATCGGTGCGGTAGCTGTCTTTTCACTACATTCGACCAGCTGACGGCGAGAAATCAGCGAAGACTTAGTTGGTGCCGCCCTTCTAGAGCTCCAAGAGAAGCACAACATCAAACGAGAAGATCTCTTCCTTCAAACTAAGTAGGGACCTTATCCGAATTCCCAACGGTGTCATGGCTCACATCTCTACAGATACACCCCAATAGGCGGACAAGATCGCACCAAACCACCCCCATACAACCCCTCCGACTCAATTCCAAACCAAATCCTCGCGTCCATCCAAAAATCGCTCTCCAACCTCCACACGACGTACCTTGACAGCTACCTCCTGCACTCGCCGTTGCCAACGATTGAGCAGACGCTCGAGGCGTGGACGACCCTAAGGCAGCTCCAGGACGAGGGCAAGGTCCGTCTGATTGGAGTGAGCAACACGTACGACGTGCGTGTGCTGGCTGCGCTCCAGAAGATGAGGAAAGTGCAGGTAGTGCAGAATAGGTGGTATGAAGGAAACGAGTGGGACCAGGCGGTGGCTAGGTATTGTAGGGAGAATGGGATTATGTATCAGTGAGTATTTGAATCGTCGTCTCTTGTAATGCGTGCTGATCTTCGTGTTGTCGGTGGTACAGGTCGTTCTGGACGCTCTCTGGGTCACCGTCACTGCTCACTCATCCCGCGTTGCTGACGTTGGCGAGGGATTCCGACATGACTGAACCACAGGCGGTATACAAGCTGGCGCAATTGGAGGGTATTATCCCATTATCGGGCACCAAGGATGAGACGCATATGAGACAGGATGTCGCTGTGGAGAAGCTATCGTTTACCGGTGACAAAGTTGAGGATTTACTGAACACTGTTCGAGATTTTGTATCAGGTTGAAGAAGAGTGTCGTATGTGCAGGAATAATGATAAGGATATGCATACGAATGACGCGGCGTACACATTGCCTATGAATCTTCTGAAGGCCAGGGGTAAGCGTCAAGCAATGCTTCCCAAGTCTCTTTGTCCAACTCTCCCGACAGTTCCTGCGGTACCAGAAGGTCGGCTTCTTCAGCGAACTTCTGAAGTGATACTGCAAGGCGGATATCTCGGAGCGTTATTCCAGGGGAGATGGTGCCTTCTGGATCGTAATGCCGAGCAGAGTGCGTTTGAATGAGAATCGTCAAAATTGGATGTTTTCCCGTTGACAGAAGGTTGAAGGAAGTGTGGTGCTGGGAAAGAAAAATTCTAAGAACGGTCGGGTGAGTTGGATGAGAGACATTGCTCGCTCACGTTTTCCTGCCCCTCGAGTGATAACAGGCGCTGAAGCAGCTTGCGCGACGCCTTGAGGCTTTTGAATGCCAGTATTGCCACGAGAAAGGGCGTCTTTGGAGTCTGCAGCCAAAAATGTGTGGAAGAGACAAAGTGAAAATTTAAGCACTTACGTCTTCAGTCAACTTCATGCCAGCTAACGACCACCCATGGAGAAATAGCGGCCCGAAATACTCCTCCACTTCTGGCTTCGTGATGAGTGGCAAGGCGCGTTCGACATATTTGACGGGATCTGGGAGCTTCATTTCAGGGAGATGCGCGTAGATTGAGGGAGTTCGGATGCGTTCAGCATGATGGCGAACTGAGGAGATGTGGAATTGTCTGATTTGAGCTGTCTTCGAGGGTTTCGTGAATTGGATACTTCTGGCGACGAACACGACTTACCAATGTTGAGGAGTTCAACCTTGTACCAATCGGGAGAAGCCTATGCCCGCTGGAATGGCTAAATGAACGACGCGTCGAAGAAACCGACATGGAGCTTAGAGGCTTGCGCATCTGGATGCCGCGTACTGACATAAATTTGAGCATGGTCCTGTTGTTCGGAATATAGTCGAGCAAATGCGTGGTCAAGTTTTCGAACGATCTTGCGATTCACCAGCACGGAATGTAGCGGGCCGAGCATTCAGTCACATGACTGTGGCGTTAATCTTCTAAATCAGGGTCACACCTCTACCTTCACACCACCAACGCAGTGCACAGGATTTCGCGAGAAATTCCTTCTACATGGATGTCGATCCTTTAACTGAGGAAACCACATCTGTGGGATCCACAGCCCGACCGAGCAAGCAACCCCGAGGCCAACCGCGACAAGGGAAAACCGACGTCATCTCCACCAACGGCCGCTTTCGTCATCTGGACCCAATTGCAGTGAAGAACGAGGTGCATAGCCTCTGGACTTCCTTACTCCACTAGTAAAGGTATTTTCTTGGCTCTCTCACTATCTTTGCATATACATCTGAGCACTTCGTCCAGGCCCGCAGTCAATGCTGAATCGGATACTTGCTCTGCAACGACCCTGCAGCGATGTTGCCCCACTTGTGCCTCACTTTCGCGATGTGGCTGCTTTCTTCTGCCCTGTTATCTGGTGCGATACCCACTCTTTCGACATCGACTCTTCAAGCACGGGCTGTTACGAATACATCCAAGGCTGGTCTGGCATGGCCAAATGGGAATTCCTTGAATATCAATCAGTACGATGCGACAGGAAAGGTTTCCTGGTAGGACACTTGACTGTGAAGGGTGACTACGACGATCTTATCGAATTGTGATAGGTACTACACTTGGTCGGCGTTCCCGGTCGCCAGCCGCCGTCTCGAGTTTTCACCTATGCTATGGGGCCAGAGCACCATCAACCAGTTTACCTCAACGATCCGGAGGACGCTGTCAAACACCAGACTCAATGTTACGGCTGTTCTCGGAATGAACGAGTGAGTTGCCCTCTGACTGTGTTGCGAGTCCTCCGTAGTCACTAACAGCCCCACTTTGTAGACCCGAGTTACAAGAGCAATCGAATTTGTCACCTGAGGAAGGTGCACAGATATGGCAAACACACTTGGAACCCCTTCGTGCTTTAGGGGTGCGACTCGGTAGTCCGGCGCCATCCAGCTCGCCTAGGGGCAAGATCTGGTTGCAAGACTTCTTCGCGGCATGCAAAGGCAACTGCACAGTAGATTTCATTGCCTTACGTGAGTCCTACTTCGTCCAAAACTCTTTTTTTTTGCCTACTGACTCCTGGAATCAGATTGGTATGGGACCAACGCCTCCTGGTTTATCTCTCATCTCGAAGATTATCAAGAGACATTCCAACGACCTCTATGGGTAACCGAATGGGCTTGCCACAATTTTGTGGACCTTGACGAGCAGTGCTCGGACGAAGAGATCGTCGAATTCATGAACGTCACGCAATCCTTCATGGATAACGCTGACTTTGTGGAGCGATATGCTTGGTTCGGGGCGATGAGGGATATGAACAACGTGAACCCAGTAAGATTTTCTGCTTCGCCAGCTATCAGGCTCTTACTTTCTTTCTGTCGTAGTCGAACGCGCTCATGAACGGGAACGGGCAGATCAGCCCCCTCGGAATACAGTATATAGATGCAATCGGTTGGACGAATCTGACCAGCAACGCGGGCAGACCCTCCATCACCGTCATTTCTGGTCGGTCCCTCAGTTTCCAGTGTTTTTGGACGACGTTCTTCACGCTGGTGGCATTACACATATACCTCTCCTTATGAACGGAGCTCCCTTGGACACCACGTTAATCACACTCATGGGCTTGACACGGAATTTACTCATCCACGTTTTCTTGCCACTATCACTTTACGAACTCTGTAGCTAGGATAACATCATGACGATACCCCATGTTGTAACGCTGACATGGACATCTGTACAACATTCCAACACAAGTAATACCTACCAAATAAATTTGTGGTTACTTAAAGTCTCTGTTGTATTCTTCGAATGCTCATTCCCTCTGCCCGACACGAGCCGACACGTCCATACATGCCCACGTGCTGAGAAACTCCGTTGACACCGAATTCCGTTGTCCAGACATCCACATGGTTGCCCCTGTCTACCGCGTCAACTGGCTTTTATGGCTTATCACGACACGGGATATCCGGCGGCGCATGCTTGATACTGCATGACTCTCCGTTTCGTCGTAATCTGTGCTTAGGCGTCTCAGGCAGAGCGATGAAACGGAGTGATAACGTGCGAAATGTCATTGAACGATAGTCTCCCTGCCAGAGAAATTGGAAGAAGTTCAAGAGGCGGACTTACCAACAGTTCTGAACAGGCCCAGGGCTTCAGTGCGGTTGAGCGTGGAAAGGACTTGGGAGGTGGATTTAATCAACAGATTGAGAGGAACGTATGTATGGTCACGATGATAGGCCGTCATGCTGCATGGTGAATGTTGTCCATCTGCCTCGCAATCTCTGCTTTTTGTTTCCATGTTCTAACCTGGAATTTGGCATGCAGCTGCTCTTCAGGGCTTGCCCAGTTGGCCCGGAATTTGGCCATTTATCGGGATCGCGTGCAGTTGTTCAACGCCGTCGAGGGTGACCCCGACTATTGATTCCTGCTCTCCATCAATAAATGTCGCGTACCACACTTCCACTTCTAGTTCGGTACAGGCTCCACCCGATCTTCTGTGAATCCGACACGCTTCTCCTCCCTTGACCGCATGCACGGTGCCTTGTCGCCTCATCGTAAGGCAGATATATAGCGACCTCCTCAAGATGTGTTTCTTCACCCTCTTCTTCTCTGGTGTTGAGGCTCGGTTTTCGCTCTCGCTTTCCCTGTTTTCGCGATGAAGTCGGCTGCTTCCTATTGGGCTCTGCTCAGCCTCCTCCCTACACTCCTTTCCACCTACTCTGCGTTTGCAGCCGTCCCCATCTCCGCCATCAGGAAGACATCCAACTTGCCCACTGTCGCTAACAAGTTTATCATCGAGGTTGAGGAACTCGCTAACATTCCCAACAAACGGTCTTTCGAACGTGTGAGCTGCCCTTGTTATCTTCGTCGATTGAGAAATTTGCTGAACCTTTGAGCAGGCCCATGATGCAGTCTATTCTGAACTAAGAGCTCGCGATGTCGAGTTTGAGGTTACGAAGGAGTACGACAGCGAGGGTATCTTTGTTGGCGCTGCTCTTGTCGTCACTGTGAGCATACCCCATTGAATCGGAGTGCTGCTATTGAGCTCTTTCTAGGACGTCAAGGATGCTGTCGCCATCGAGAACACCCCCGGCGTCAAGTCCATCCGTCCGGTCTTGTCCTTCAGGCGGCCCAAGTAGGTTCATTTGGGTCTTGCTACGCCGTCTGGCCTGATATTGTGTTGTCAAGGATCCTCTTCAACCACGTCGTAACTGGCGTTGACGATCCGGAGCTTCCAGTGGAGCCTCTCTCGACGCATGTCATGGGGGTAAGTTTCATCCGCGGATGCCATTTCATGTTGTGAATGACCATCTCCTCTCTAGAACGTTGACAAGGTCCATGCAGAGGGCAACATTGGTCGCGGCATCAAGATCGGAATGTCAGTCTTCTTCAAGTCATGTCATGGCGTGGATGATCTACTGAATAGCTTGTAGTTTGGACACCGGTATCGACTATAACCACCCTGCCCTGGGAGGTGGTATCGGACCTGATTTCCTGGTGACTGGAGGTTATGACTTCGTTGGAGATGCATACACCGGAGCGAATGAACCCGTGCCGGATTCTGACCCCATGGATTGCGAGGGTATGTATCTACTTCGGTGTAAGTGGAAGCTCCCACTGATCATAGATTTCCAGGACATGGAACTCATGTTGCTGTATGTTTGGCGACCGCCATGTTGAACGATGTGCTCATCTGTCCTGCAGGGTATCATCTCTGCGCAACCCGGTAATCCCTATGGCATCAGCGGTGTCGCGTACGGCGCAAGCATCAATGCGTACAGAGTCTTTGGCTGCGCTGGTAGTGCGACCGAGGATGGTCAGCTCTTTTCCAATTCCTATCGTCGAATGAATAGCTGACTGACTTCCGCTTTTTGTAGTGCTTGTCGATGCCCTACTCAGAGGTCATGCAGATGGCAACGACATCTTGACTCTTTCGCTAGGCGAAGCCAATGGTTGGGCCCAATCTGCCAGCGCCGTCGTCTCCAACAGGATCGCCGCTACTGGCAAGATTGTCACGATTGCTGCTGGCAATGACGGCTCCTCCGGCTCCTGGTACTCCTCTACCCCTGGAAATGCCCACAACGCCATTTCCGTCGCCAGTGTTGCCAAGTGAGTCCTAGTTTTACCTTTTCCTTCGTGTCTGCTTGGCTGACTGAGGCGAATTAAATTCTAGCACCGCCGTCCCTATGCAAAATGCTACCGTACATGGGGTTGCCTACAATCCCATCACCTACTACAGGACCAACCCCCTTCCGACTGAAGGCTCGGAACTGCCTGTCTATGCTACCTCCAACTCAACGACTGTCACCAACGACGCTTGCGACCCTCTTCCCACCAGCACTCCTGATCTCTCGCCTTACGTCGTCATTATTCGCCGAGGCTCTTGTACCTTTGTTAGTATTTCTATGTTGGAATGAGAGTAGTTGGCTGATTTTCTTCGCCACTCTTAGGTTCAGAAGCTCTCCAACGTCTTTGCGAAGGGTGCCACGGTTGCTTTGATCTACGAGTATGTTTCTTTGTTCTTGGGTATCGGAGCTGGTGGACTGAGGTGCTGCATTTGAAGCAACGGCAATGGTTTCTCCCCAGTTGCTCTCGGTGATTTCAACGCCGCGTTGATCCAGTCCTTCGATGGAGAATTTGTACGTTCAGCCATATGTCAGCTTACGTTTGGTTCTGATAATTCGTTCGTAAGATTGTCCAACAATATGCCGCTGGAGCCCCCATCAGGCTTTCTTTCCCCCAAGCTGGCGCTTCGACGAACTTCCCTGATCCTCAGGGTGGACTCATGTCTTTCTTCTCTTCGTACGGTCCTTCGAACGACTTCCAATTCAAGCCTGCAGTCGCTGCCCCTGGAGGAGGTATCCTTTCGACCATCCCTGTCGACCAAGGCAGCTACGGCGTCAAGTCTGGTACGTCGATGGCCACTCCTTACATGGCTGGTACCGCTGCTCTCCTCCTCGCTGCCAAAGGCAAGACGCCCGCCGTCGCAAAGAGTGCTCGCGATCTATTCGAGACGACCGCGAACAAGATCTCAAGCTCCAAGACCGATGGCGATCCGTTCCAGACTCTTACGCAGGCCGGAGCTGGGTTGGCGGACGTTTACAAGGCTATTCATACCACGACGATCGTTTCGCCCGGAGAACTGATCTTGAACGATACGGCCAACTTCAAGTCTTTGTGAGTGTTTCTTTTTTACCTTGGACGATTATGTCTGATCGTCAGTTGTAGCCAAACTTTCACCATTGAGAACAAGGGAAAGACACCGAAGACGTACAAGCTGACCCATGTCCCTGCTGGCACTGCGTTGACCCAGAAGCCCGTGAGCATACCGCTTACGTTGCCTTCGTCTGTACCTTGGACTAATGCCTGTGTAGAACTCGACCTACCCTGCTTTGGGCCCTGTTCCTCTCTCTCCGGCCGCTGCTTCCGTCGTCATCGTCCCTGATACGGTCTTCCTTCTTCCGGGTACCAAACTCCCAGTTGTCTTGCACTTCACACCCCCGCGCAACGTCGACGCGTCCCTCTACCCTGTCTACAGCGGCTTCGTCGATATCACCAGTGGTTCGGAGATCCACCATGTCTCATACCTCGGCCTCGTCGGTAGCCTGAAGAACAAGCCCGTCTTCGATAACACTCCTGAGTTCTTCGGCTTCCGCCTGCCTGCTCTACTCGATGGAAACGATCAGCCTCAGGCCGTTCCTTCAAATTACACATTTGCTGGCGGTAATATTCCATCGTTGCTCTGGAGGTAATGTTGATAGGCCAATTGCGATGCTGATAGATATTGACGATCGTGAATAGATTGGTCATGGGGACGCCTGCCCTCCGCATTGATCTCGTCGATGCTAACATCAACTTCAAGCCGACGCTGCAGAGTCGCGATGTCGACTTCGATATTGGCTCGCTCTTCACCTTTCCCTGGCTGAACCCAGGCGGCTCCTTTGCCCAAGTGAAGATCGTTGGCACACTTGCTTCCTTCGATTATATCTCTCGTCATAACGAGGTGGGGCATCATTTGTACTTCTCAGATAGATGAAGATCGTTGCTAACCCCTGTGTCGATTTAGGATCCTGAGGAAAATGCATGGAGTTTGTTGAGATTGAGGGCACCCACCTTTGCCAACGGCACTACCATCACCAATGGTCAATACCGCGTCCTCTTCCGTGCTCTGAAGGTGACAGGCAACTCCAAGCGCCAGGGAGACTACGAATCGTGGCTTAGCCCCGTCTTCGGTATCAGTCTCTAATTTCTTCCGCTCTCAAAAATGCTCCTTGTTGTACGCTCTCGGATAAAGGACATCATTCATTTTAGACCTGTAAAATCTCTTTGCATTCTGACTACTCCACTTGCTGTATATTCCTAATTCAGTGACTACTTGGATGCAATAAAAACAAACTGCACATACCGAACCCCCAAAACTGTGCGGCCGCAGTGACAGGAGAAAATGGAACAGCACAGCCAGAGTCTCTGAGGCTTAGTCAGCGTTCGCACGGCGAGCTCGTCGTCGGCTGCAACAACAAAGACTCAAACCACGACGACCAATCCCCTTCCTCATCATTGACGGCGGCGACGACGAGCTACAGTGACGACCTCGACGTTCCCTCTTTCTAACGCTGCTTGGTGGGGCTCGCCAATGCGATGTATTACCCCCAGCAATCCCCAAGTATCTCGCACAAGTTGGCCAACCACCACGACAATAATCCCTGGCGGCTTCCCCTTCTTGTACAACAATCAGGGCAACAGTCGACGGTAGGGCCACCGCCGCCGTCACCGGGATATGCTCTGTACACCAACGGTGCACTGCAGCACCATCCAGGCCACCATCCGCTACAACATCCACCCCTTCAGCACCACCACCAGAACTCCATATCCCACTACCCATCACCTCCAAATGTCCACACGCACCAGCAGCAGCACCTTCTCGCCGCGCAGGGGTCTCCAGCAAGCGGAGGCGCCGTCGTAACTCCTCAATGGCAGAACCAGCTTTTGAAATGCGAGGCAAGTCTTCTATCTGAGGTTATCAATTCATCTGGGCACTGACTCGGCCGCTTGCAGATGGTACGCGCTTCACGTTCGCCCCACCACCGGGCTCGTGCGAGCGCTATGGCTTCCCGCACCGTCACCAAATCCGCCATTCCCATCACCAACCCCAACCTCGTCAAACCCCCAACCCCTGCAGTCTCAGAAACAAACGGTAAAGAGGCAGAGTCGCCAGATGGATCGCCAACGAACGGTGCAGCGGTCAACCACCCTTCGTCGACTGTTGCACCGATCGCCGAAGCTCCTCGGCCAACGGCGATAAAACCGCCCGAGAACACCTGGACGTCTCTCGACATGGGTGGCCTCAACATCAAGAACCTCCCCTCTTCATCCGGCCTCTTTTCATTCACATTCCTGATCAACCTCTACCTCAATCACAACGCCCTTACCGCCGTTCCTCCAGAAATCTCGAGATTACGTCATCTCGAGCTCCTTGACCTCTCGGGAAACAATCTGAGCACAGTTCCCCCTGAGCTCGGTATGTTGACGCAATTGAAAGAGTTCTACCTCTTCGACAACAATCTTTCCACCATTCCTCCGCATTTTGGAACTCTGCATCAACTGCAGACTCTAGGCGTCGAGGGCAACCCCCTAGACCCACACCTAAAGTCCATCATTCAGAAGGATGGAACACCAGCACTTATCTCGTACCTACGAGACAACTGCCCCGTGGAAAACGAGCCTCCTGAGCGGGTGTGGAAATACTTGATCTCGCCTCAAGAGCAGGAGATGCTTGCACAAGACCCTAACGTGGAGACGTTCAGTGTGTTGTGTTACAACATTCTATGCGAGAAGTATGCCACAGAGAAGCTCTACGGCTACACCCCCTCTTGGGCGCTCGCGTGGTCGTACCGCAAAGGGCGGATTATGGAAGAGTTGCTCAAATACGATGCCGACTTTCTATGTCTACAAGAGGTCGACATCGCGCAGTTCGAGGACTTTTTCTCTGTCAGCCTAGCAAAGAAGGGCTACGAAGGGGTCTTTTGGCCGAAGTCGAGATACAAGACGATGAACGAGACGGATCGGAGGCTGGTCGACGGGTGTGCCACGTTCTACAAGGCGGACAAGTGAGTCGTACGTCTGATCTCTTCTCTTCGTAGGCTAATGTGTTGGGGTAAGGTATAAACTTGTAGAGAAGCACCTCGTTGAGTTCAGCGCTGTCGCGATGCAGCGCCAAGACTTCAAGAAAACGGACGATATGTTCAATCGTGTCTTGGGCAAGGACCATATCGCCATCATCACCCTTCTAGAGAACATTCACACCGGGACTCGATTTGTCATTGCCAACGCCCATGTCCATTGGGACCCCAAGTTCAGGGATGTCAAGCTTGTGCAAGTGGCGTTGCTCCTCGAGGAGGTCGAGAAGGTCGCCAACAACTTTGCGAAGTACCCTCCACCACCACCGTTGAACGGGCACGGAAGCGGATCAACGACGCGAGCCGAGACAACAGACGATCGGTCTGAAGCAGGCAGCATATCTCCGACATCTGCCTCTGAAGACGTTGACCGGCAAACCACCTCAGCGCCACCGTACAGACCACCACCCGTCTATACGGACGGCATGAAGATCCCTTTGATCGTCTGTGGTGACTACAACTCCGTCCCAGATTCGGGTGTATGCGAGTTCCTCGCGAACGGGTCCGTGCCGTCGAACCACCCCGACTTCATGTCGCACAAGTATGGGCGCTACACGAGCGAAGGCATCCGGCACCGGTGTGGCCTGAAGAACGCATACGGGACGCTTCCCAGCGAGATGACGGCAACGAACTACACGCCGAGCTTCCAGGGCGTGCTCGACTATGTGTGGTACTCTACGGCGACGATTGGTGTGAACAAGGTGCTTGGAGGGTTGGATAAGGGGTATCTGGAGAAGGTGGTTGGGTTCCCAAATCCTCATTTCCCGTCAGAGTGCGTTCTGTTCTTATACTTTTCCCTTATGACCTTGCTGACTGCTGCTTTCGTTCTTGTTACTTCTTCACCCCGTTGGTATATTTGTCGCCCACAGCCATGTCTCTATCGTCGCCGAGTTCCGCGTCAAGCCTCCTCGGGATACAGCCCAGCCCCGGCCCCAGCCTCAAAGCCAGTCTTAAGGTGGCCGTTCGACCACCTTCGGAGTTCGATCCAAGTTCAAGTTAGCGTTGCACGAGAGTTCGGAGCAGTCGCGCATTCATCGCACTGTGACCAACCCGCATTGCATTTCCCTCCCCCACCCTTTCATTCACTTCAGCTGCATGTATAACACACATCGAGGGGTTTTTATGATATTTGGTTGTTTGTTTTTCCTCCTTCCCTTCCTCCACCTTGTCTTCCATTTACTCTTACCCAACCTGTGTGGTGTATTTCTGGTTTGGTGTGTGTTTGTGTTGCTGCTCTTGTCTTACCCCCCTGCATCTCTCCGCCTCCTTGCACCACTCCGTCAACATCCCATCAAACATTCAGTCATATAATATTTGGTCGTCCTTTTTGGCTTGTATCGCTTTTCTTTTCTTTTTCGTCTTTATTTTCTGTGTTCTTTGTACCCTTTTTTTACCTACTCTTCCCCGTCCCCTACCCCTTATTTTCTGTGCACACCTTTTATTTTCTACCTTTTCCTTTTCTAGTGCTCCCTGTCAATTCTATCCATTTCATCTCTCTGTGATGCCGCCTCTGCAGTGGTGACGCGCAAGTCGGTACTCAACAGCACCTGCGTCATTGTCAGCTCTTAATTGGCTTGACATACTTAGGGCATTTCCTATTTCCTATTATCCTTTATCCTTTTAGCTCGTACTCACTGCTTTCGTCGCATGCAATCTCCAGCCTCCCGTTCTCTCTTTCCTGGTTTACACACACAACACACCGCATCCCATCGTCCCTCTGTACGGACACTATTTACTCTCTGGCATCCTCCCCAAATCTCTGTCATCACTTAGTTGTAGTACTTTCTGCTGTAGCGATTTCTGTTTTGTGTGCGAATTCCTTTCCTTTTCTCTGGTCCTCTTCGTGTGCTGAACGTCAGTAATCTACTCGAGTCCTCCGATTATGCCGCCCGGAATATCGGAAGAGATGAATGTCCCGACGTGATGATTGGCTGAACCCACTGGGACCTGGGTAGAAACTTGAAACCGTTGTTACTCTCCGGGTTTGCTACCCCTTCTGCCAACTTGCTGGGTCAAACGTTCTACTCTTTATAAATTCCAGACCTGGGCGACAGGAGAAATCAATAATAATCAAGAATGGTTCGAGCAAAACTTTTGTCGCCTGAGGACACGGGGAATAACTAGACCCTATCAATCTCGTACCACGCTTGATCATAAAAACCTGGTCCGTCTACCCATCCCTCCTTTCTTCACCCCCACCATGTCGCCCGTGTATCAAGCTACCGCCTCCGCGCCTGTAAACATCGCCGTTATCAAGTAGGTGTGCCCGATGACCCTCAAGAGCTGAGGTCTGATCATCATCCGCTTTCTTGCAGATACTGGGGCAAACGCGACACTAAGCTCATCTTGCCCACCAATTCGTCGTTGTCGGTTACCCTCGACCAGGATCACCTCCGATCCACGACGACATCGCGTGCCGATGCCAGCTTTGAGCGCGATCAGCTATGGTTAAACGGAAAGGAGGACGAGATCAAGCCAGGGAGCAGGCTCGCGACATGCATCTCCGAGATGAAGCGTCTTCGCAAGGAGGTTGTTGAGGATAAGAACCTAGCAGAGCCAAAGGTACGCGATTTGGATCTTCAAAGAGTGCACATATCTCAACTGTAAACCAATTCGAAGATCTCACAATACAACGTGCACATCGCGTCGTACAACAACTTCCCCACCGCTGCCGGACTCGCATCCTCCGCGTCCGGGTTCGCCGCGCTCGTCGCATCGCTCGCGCACCTCTACGCCTTACCCGTCTCCCCGTCCACCCTCTCCCTGATCGCGCGGCAGGGATCCGGGTCCGCCTGCCGGTCTCTCTTCGGAGGCTTCGTAGCCTGGCAGATGGGCTCCGACGCCGCCGGGACCGACTCGCTCGCCGTGCAGGTCGCCCCGCAGGAACACTGGCCACAGATGCAGGCCCTCATTTGCGTGGTCTCGGACGACAAGAAGGGCACATCCTCGACGAGCGGCATGCAACGTACCGTGGAGACCTCGCCACTCCTCCAGCACCGCATCAAGTACGTCGTCCCCGAGCGGATGGAGCGCATTTCGAAGGCGATCCTCGAGCGCGACTTTGACACGTTTGCGACGATCACGATGGCCGACTCGAACCAGTTTCACGCCGTCGCGCTCGACACGGAGCCGCCCATCTTCTACATGAACGACGTCAGTCGCGCGATTATCGCCCTGATCGTTGAGTACAACCGTCTCTCCATTGCGAATGGCGGTGGGTATAAGGCAGCTTATACGTACGATGCGGGCCCGAACGCGGTCATCTACGCGCTGGAGGAGAACATTAAGGAGATCGCGCAGCTTATCGTGTCGTACTTCCCTCAGAAACCTGGCGAGTTCAAGGATGTGTTGGGGCTTTTTGGAGCGGGTGCAGCTGATGTCAATGTGCATGCGAAGGTCCCTGTAGGATTCAACGAGGCTGTGGCGAAGAAGTTCGAAGTTGGGGCTGTCAAAGGCCTCATCCATACCCGTGTCGGCGATGGACCCAGGAAGCTAGGCGACGAGGAATCCCTTCTGGCAGAGAGTGGGGTGCCGAAAACGTTGGCGTAATGAATGTAATAGATTATATAGTTAGAAGGTGTAAAATGCATGTATTAGGTGCTTGATTTGAACTTTACTGAAACTCATATGCGATTCAATGAACACTGGCCACTCTAATGGCGGGTACAGCGAGTGAGAGCAGGAAATATCCAAAAGCCATCAGGAGACTATCGTAGAACGCTAATGGACCTGGTCCCTTCATGAGGGTAATTACACATATAAGTATGGCAGACCTCTTCTATGAATGATTGTACATCGGCTACAATTTTTTTGTTTGCAGGCTTCCACCCTTCAAGTTCGAAGCCCACACCCTCCTCGCAGAATTTTATATCTCGTAATCCATCATAGACTCCACACCTGCGAGCTTGGGGCATAGGACACGGTACGCTCGGCTACATATGCCCGGCGCTTGATTGCACAGCGCTGATCTTCGCTTTCCCTTTTAGGCGCGCGACGCCATCTGTCCTCCCTTCGAACCCTTTCGTCTTGTTTTTCACCATATATGTATCTCTCATTTCCCCCTTCGGCTTTCTTGTCACTGCCAGTGCGGTCCAGGGTTGTAACAGGACTTCAATGGCCAATATCCAGGTCAGTGGACATACATAGAGTATACGAGGGGGTAAATTTGCCGGTGGGCACCCCGCTGGTTACCCCTCGCTCGGGGGTGGGCACGTAACCACCTGAATACCTCAAAACCCCAGATGGGGCGGCGCTGCGAAGCGCCAGGCTTATGCATGATTGGGCCATGGGCGAGTGATCCGGGGAATCGCTGATCCCCGGATGGGGTTCCCCTCTCCATTATCATCTACAACTTCGACGTCGTCGTCGCTCTCCTATTTTCCTCAATCCATTCGTCCTTTCTGCTACTTGTCTCCAGAAAATATGTGCACCAAAGTGTTGTTGAACCTCAGCTTCTCGTTTGCGATTCCAACTGTTTAATTCTGCCGCTTTGAAACACGGTGCGCACTGTGGCCCCAATGAACCAGCAACTTTTCCTTCGTCTCTCTCTGTGGCACTGGTGGCCCATCACACTTTTCATTGTTTAAATTCAATAAGGTGGGTTTATTCCACTCATCGTGTCTCTTCCCTCAACTAACGATGTCTTCTGAAAACTCAGACACAGACTCGGAGATGATGCCATTGCTGTCATCCCTGCCACATTCTCCAGCAAGACGGCGGCTCGAGGCATCGTTAGGATTTGACAACCCCTCTCGAGCGAAGTGTCGGCGTCTTGATCAACTGACCCACCAAAACTCTTGAGATGAGAACTCGGCCGCGTCAACGCTGCTAGTTCCACCCATTGAAGATGTGAACTTTCCAGGTCCGCTCACACTGATGGCTCAACCCGCTGTATCTTCAGCAAATCCACCAACTCCTCAGCTGAATAACTCTCCATCCAATGTCCTCCCATCTCCGAAATCAATTCCGATGCACCAACAGCCCGACTTGCAAGCCATTCAACACCAGGCCCACCAGAATCGACTTGCTCTCTCCGAAGGCATGGTGAAGGGAAAGGGAACAAAGGATGCTTACGGACGACATGTCAGGGATTATGAAATATTTTGGATGTCCTTCCAGGATAAGGCGGAGAAGGAAAATCCAGCCCACGTATGCATTGAGGCACACCCCATCGTTGGTGAGAAGGTTGCAATATTTCTGGATCATGAGTTTACATGACAGAAGGTATTTTCTATTAAGCTTCACAATGGGAACTTGATTAATTTTCCCCATTAGCACGACAACCATGGACAGGACATTGAAGGGACCTCTGTTGGCAAGGAACACATCAAGCAGGCCATTAGCGCACTTCAACGGTACATGAGAGAACACCAGCACCTCCCCGAGTACGGTGGATGTCCTGATACTCGTATTCCACTTCGTGATCAGGACTGGGTCAAGCTGTATGAAACTGCAAGCGCAGCACGTGAACCCGACCGCAAGAAAAAGGCACACATTCTCAAAGCCACAGGAACATCAGCAGGTATGAGCTGTAGTTTAGTAAATGCTGAATAGTGTGATGCTGATGCTAGCTTCGGATAGATATCTATACATGTGATGAACTCACCTGGATGTCAATATGGTCATTTGAAGCTTTTGGGCCCTCTCCGCATGATACTTACCTCGGCATCCGTGATCATACCATGCTCCTGTTCTCCACAAATATTGCCTTCCGAGGCGACAGTTGTCGCCGCCTTCTCTGGTCAGATCTCTTCACACGATCACTTCCCATGGAGATCATCGGGCCAGAGGTCGAACTTACAGTATGCATTCTCTTGTAGTGACAGATTTTTCTCCCAAACTCATATTCATTTTAGGCACTCGGCTTTCTTGCTGATCAGGCGAAGACCAACACATCAGGTCGGGTTGATGAGCATGCTTTATTTTGGCATCGCTACCCTGAGCTTTGTGGATTTGGCGCACTTGCCTTTTTCTTCTTTAGTTACTTCCACATTCTGGGAAAGCCGCCACCCGAATTTGCCCCTGATTTCCGTGATCCTGAACACTCTGAGTATGGGAGAAGAGATTGGTATGGCTACTTTCTCTTTCCTGGGAAGGCAGGCCCAGAAGGCGAGCAGCGACCAATGACCTATACTAGTATGTAGCACTACAAAACTTAAGAACTTGGCATCTCTCATGTCATTTTTATTCTAGACCACTATGAGCGTCTGAAAAAGATGCATGAGAAGAACGACATCAGCATCTCGAAGGTCACCCACGGTGGCCGTTTTTATTCAGCCGATAAAGCTGGGATCTATGGCGCTAGCGGAATTGACATCAAGGCACTCGGAAATTGGAAAACGGGGGATGCATATTCAGAAGTATACAACCGTGCGATGCCTGTGAGGGCTATGCTTGCTGCGTCAATGTTCAGCGCAGAGAAGCCTGACAGCTATGTGCTCTCTCATTCCCTTCTTGGTATGTTTTTGCCTTTTTGCACCAGAAGAAGTGCCCAAGATCTCATATAATCTTCAGATCCACCACCCAACTTGCTCCGCAATTTATTTCCATGGGTCGAAGGTGCCCAACAAGCATACTTTCAGCGTGTCAGGGAGCTGGGGCATAAGGCCGTGGATTACTCATTGAAGCAACTTTTTATTCTCATGCCACAGCTTCGGACAATTCTTATTCAAGATGCAGCCATCCTGTTTTCTCGATACCCCAGTCTTTCCATATGGAATTACCCTCCCTTCAGTACTTTGGAATTCTGAGATTTTGCAAAATCATCATTGCTGACACTTGAATGAGCTGAGCTTGAGGCCAAACACCATCTAGAAGCACTTCCGGAGAAGATGGCCACTTCAATGCATGGAATAGTTGAAGCTCTGGAAATCAAGCACGCGAAGGATAACAAAAGGGTCAATAATCGATTAGACTATCTCATTGGTCTTATGACCAATCAAGCCGCTGCAAGGTCGAAGTACAGCTCACAAGACCATCCAGCTTATGGTATGTGCAATCATATGCTTGTTGAGCTCTCTCATGTCTTGTAATTTTAGCGTCCAATAGCAACTCAAGCTGCTTAATGTCTACAACACCTTCATGCGCATCCACCCCATCCACCCCAGTCATCATGGACAAGAGCCTGAACAACCAGCCTGGAGCGTTGTCTTTGCCTGAGCCACTTCTGTCACCTGCCCCGCCAAATTCTCAAATACCTCTACAGTCACCACCTCCACCACCTCCAGTGCCGCAGTTATGGCCCAAAGATCTACTAGGATTACAGTCAAACTTTATATTATCAACCAACGACCATGAGCACGCTCGCCAAATCTCAGAGATTTACACTCTGAGGACGAATTACAGCAGTGACCGTCTCAGGTCCCACCAGTTTACCTGGATGAAGTACTCATCAGGTCAAATCTCAGTCGAGTGGCTTCCAATTTACACATACAAAGCCAATGCATCAATCTCGGAGATCTGGGAGGAGTATACCAATGGGCTTGATGGGCATCTTTCCATCCAGCAGCTGTGCAACGGGTGGGATGCACGGTGGCGGCGCAATAACTCAGGACTCAAAACAGAAGCTGCACGGTGCAAGCAGATCACCAGCTTGATTGAGATGCTTGTCAAGTGGCCAAATTGGAACTCATCACTTGCACTGCGCTTTCTCAGAGATAAGTATCCGATACCATCTTTGTCTCCTGCCCATCTCCACAGCATGCGAGCCTTCATCACTCATCTGCAGAACAAAACCTCAGGGCCTCAAGCAGTAGCAGATATTTTAGAAGCTGCAGCTACATATTGTATGGTATAATACAGTGTTGTCTGGTCAAATTTAATTGTACTTTAATCTACGAGTTCCATCTTGGCATTTGTGATGTTCGTCCCCCAAGTTGGAAAAGGAGGTGCAGTTGCCTGTCTCAGATTTAGCGCAAGGAGGGGCTGCTATGTTTCAAATCCTTCTTATGCTGAACCTTCATCTTGTTCTGCACTCACTGAACAAAGTTTTTAATTATTCCATCGTGGTCATCAGAAATGGGAATTTCTGGCTTATGGAAGGTAAGGCTTCGATTGAGGCTGTGCGTTCTGAGTCATTGTCTAACCGTGACCGCCACATTTCTTAGGCCATTGAACCATTGCACCATGTTAGCACGCTACAAGAACTCGCCCGACTGAATGGATTCAACCACAAAACTCGAGGAAAGAACGCTCTCCGTATTGGAGTGGATGTCAGGTGGGAAACTCACCACAGGATCTCTGAAAGCCGTTGTCTCACAGTGAGAAATCAAAACAGTATCTTGATGGATGAGTGCCTTGCAGCCGCAAAAATAAGGGTCTCTTCCAGTATACTCAAGACGGTCCCCTGGAAACTTTCTACTTCAAGCTCTGCGAGTTTCTCCAGCATCCAGTTGTTATGGTTTTTGTTTTTGACGGCCCCGGTGCCCTATCTGGAAGCGAGGAAAGGAAAGGGGGAAATTTCAGGCTCCTTGGTGGAATGACGCTTGCCAGCAGCTCATTGAGGCGTTTGGATTTTATTACCATCAGGTATGTGCAGATGTCGACTCTCAATCCCTGCACTAGTTGAATCCCTGGACTTGTAGGCTCCTGGTGAAGCGGAGGCCGAACTCGGTCTGCTCGAACAGCTTGGGATGCTCGATGTTGTTATTACTAGTGATGGCGATACCTTTGTTTTTGGTGCCCGGACCATCTTGAAAAAGTGCGTTGTTATTAAATCCTCAATGTGGTCAAATCCTAATTACATGTGCTATAAATTCAAGACAGCTGAAGCTGAAAGACCAGTACACTCATCAGCAAATCCTGATTTTGAGGGTCAAAATGACCTCAATTTTAGCGTTACACCGCGTTATGGCGCGTTACGCAGTGCTACGTAACGCGCCATAGTGCTGTAATGCATCTTCTCATCTACCGTGATGGTCCCTAACTATGAAGTGCTACATACCCTCGTATAGCTCTCATAACCCAACCAGGAATTGCTGATGCTGTCTATCTTGCCGATGAGATTGAGAATGCAGATGGCTTCCATCTTACATGGGGAGGGTTTCTGCTTACAGCTGTGATGTCTGGCGGTGACTATTCAACTGGAGTTTACGGATTTGGTGCTGCAACATCCCTTGCCCTCGCGCAATGTGGTTTTGGTGACGCTATGGGAAGGGGTGTTTTTTCAAACGGTCGTGTCAGTAAGTCTTCTCAGTGCCCTTCCTCTGGAGCACACTTCAATTTGTTTATTGTTTTCACAGAGAAACACCATCTACGACAATAATCAACACAAACTTCTCAGCCCAACAATCCAAGCGCCCTTGAGAAGTGTCTCTTTCACCAAAAGGAAGGGCAAGGCTGGCATGTGGGCTCGTGTTTCATTCTGTCTGAGCAACTTCATTGCCCTGCTAGGGATGGACCGCGATGTCGACACAAAGCACTTGAAGCCACTCAAGGTTTGGATCCCGAGAGGCTGGTTTGACCCAGACATCAGTTCGTTCAACCTCGACAAAAAATTAGCAGCTCAGGGAAAGAAATGTCATTGCCTCCAAGTCAAGTCCTCAAACGAAGGGAAAGTTGACATGAAACAGGATCCAATTTGTTCTGCACCACCTCCCATGGAGCCAGGACCATCGAGCTGCCAAGCTCCTGGACCGTCAGCAAATCTGGATATTCCGGCACAACCACTGGCATGCAATCTCGAACGAACACCTTCCTCCGAAGTTGAAATCGTCAGGCATGTCATCGAGATTGAGGATTCGCCACCCCCAACCCGGAAGCGCAGATATCATGTTGCGTTCACAGATGCGGATATTATAGACATCAGCGATTAGGACATATTTGAGATCTGGTTCTTATTTTCTACACAATGTTGCCCATTTCACATTTCAAGTCCATGTCATGTACTTTCTATCACTATTTATGATGTGCTGCATCCCAGTTCTTGAGATACTTGAGCAATTCCTTGCGCCCTCGCGGGGTCTCATGAACCCTCTCAAGCTCAGCTTCAACCTCCGGCGACCATGAAGGTGACGTCTTGTTGGTTCCGTACGAAGCAGCAAGTCGATGTCCAGTAAGGGCATCATTGAGTCATGTTTCCCCAATGCTGAGGGTCATGTGGATGATGGCCTTCGTGACACGTTTGTGCTTGAGGATCAAAAAGGATTAGAGGGCAAGAAATTATGCTTAATGATGCTTGTACCAATGGTGTCGCTTTCGAGTTGTAATACTCCGTGTGGAAGGACGACACAAACTGCCATACTCATATAATATCGGGGTTCTGAAGAGCACGGCGTTTTGAAGAGGCGAAGAAGTCGTAGTCAGGCTGAGCCAACAACTTGTCGTGGAGCCAGGAAGAAAGGGCATCGCACTCGGAAATTTCCTGAGGCGTCTCATTCATGTCTCTTGTGCCTGGGCTTGTATTTGACATGTTTGCTGGCGTAGCAGCATTGCAAAGGTGGGCCTTGGACAGGATTCAGTGCTCAAGCCTCATGTTCAGCGATATGACTCACAGCTTCAACATGTATTCAGATGCTGAGCATCGGTGAGATTGGGAGTGCGGAGGGGTTGAATTCTCCATCCTCAAGTGTGCCGTGTGTAGATCGTATGAAGTATTTGAGATAGGAATTGTCTTGCGGGCATGGGTACGCAAGCCGGACAGGTCCTGGTCAGTTGGATGAGAACAAAAAATTAATAAACAAAGGTTGACTTACCTCGCAGGGCCGAATAGCTTTTCTGAAGCTCAGAGATAACAGCATGAGCATTCACAAACCATCGATCCACCGTGATATGGTGTTTCTCAATGTGGACCCAAACCGCTGACTTCCGAACAGGGTCAACACAGGGATCGTCAAGGAAGAGTTGAATGGCGGTCTATCCCAGAGGCATCATCTGTCAGCATAAAAGGAAACAAAATAAAGGAGGACATGCCTTCAGCGGCTCTTCTTGGTTGAAGGTCGAGCCCTCAGCGGCTTGCGGCTGCTCAGCGTCATGGCGAAACAATGGCTCTACATCCAAAGGTGGTGGGTTGGTGGGATGGGCTTCGGCTGCTGCGTCGGACTGACTCATTGTGTGAACAAGGGCGCTTGCACTGGGAGCAGCTGCAGGGAGCACTGGATTGGAGGCCTTCGCTTTGGAGAACCCATTCTTCGGATCGAGGAGCTTGTCCCTCAGCTGATCGACACGAAGCTTTGAGAGGTTGAACCTCAATCTGTTGGAGGGCCAACGCTCCTGCTGTCTCTTCACGAGGTTGCCGAGCTTCTCCTTCGTGAGAAGGCTAGTAAAAATAAAATTGATGAGGGATGTGCAAGAGACGAGCAGGCAAACACGCACCTTAGTTCTGCCTCTGCGTAAGGCTCCTCCTCAGTTGGCATAACGAGCCGGCGTGTGGGTGGAACAGAGATCCCGATGAACGAGACATGCCAGCCACCCTCGACGAACGAGGCGTGCCAGCCGCCACCGTTGCCAACGCAGGTGGCTGGTCTGGTGCTTGCAGGCCAGAGTCCAGTTGTGACATTGACCAGGAAGGGGGAATGGGAGAGCCGGGGCGAGAGGGCGTCATCGGAGAGGACGCGGGGTGCGCCGCAGAGCCCAAACGGGGCAAGCGGTGGGCGCCCGCCAAATCGAGGGGTGTCCCACGCCCACGTGACGTCACCGGGCACTCGGCGGCCTTCCATACATGTTTTGATTTTGGAAATCACGATCCTTGTCATTGGCTGGTGTGCGTATATCCTTTGGCGCTTTCCAAATTACTTGGCGTGCGCCTCAAAAGCCCAGCGAGAGGGAGACGGAGCCACATTACAGCCGTTCATTCCAGGTGATGACACTCCTGGCAGACCCACAATCAACCTTCTCATCTATTGGTTCTCCATCTCCCCCATCTGGTTTACCGATCATTGTGCTATCTGCCAATACCTGCCTGGGAATGCTGATACATCACATCTTTAGATGGTTTTCACGAGTTTCCGCTGTACTTAGTCCTCCAGTTGTAAACTCACAAGTAGACTACAATAAATATATTCTTTTATGTGTTGAATTTTCGCGGAAGCGGGTGCATCGAGCACGACAGAATCAGGGTGGAGGTCCTAAGTCTACCTGCCATTGCATAGCCACAGACATTTTTTTTCCGCACTGCAGGAAACTGACCAGGCTCCTGCAAACGCGAGAGAAGCAGTACGTACCCATATTTGTCTCCAGGACATCTAGAAGAACGGGTTAATAAATGCTAGGATGTGAAACCTTTTTTTCGCCCAGAATTAGTGTCGGCATTGTGGGCAATAGCCGTCAGCGCGATGCGGGGCTAGCGGCCCGTTCAATTCGTCCGTCTCAAGCGCGCCCTGCGCGCGAGAGAAATTTTTCACATTCGGAGCATTGGGATGATGCTCTTGAGACTGTCTGTTCAGCTGTGAAGGTGATTCCGAAGGGGATACAAGCTCCCCTTCTTTTCTACTTTTTATTTCTTTTTACGCCCAGTACAATAATCGGAAAACCCTCCATCTTTCAGGTAGGGAACTCCGACACAATATGTAGAACGCAGATGACATGTAGTCCCGTAGAGCCAACACTCGTGTCTCGCCCAAGAAAAGCGCTTAACATCCATCCCGCCGCCTGCATATCAGTTGGAGTTTGAGGGTCTAACATTGACCAGAACACTTCGTTGAGAATGCATTTATATAAATAACTATATGAAGTTCAACTGGAAAGCAAGGATAACAAGGTGACGACACAAATCAGGGAATCAAGAATACGCTAGTTCTCCAGAATATAAATAAACCAGTGCCCCAAAAGCCGTGAAGGCGTGCAAGGAGGATAAGATATGATATCGGGGTCTGGAGGGTTCGTGTCGTATAGCGTATCTAAATGGATATCACACATTCTGATGGCTCTGGGATGTTGACTGTGTCATCTGTCCAACGCTAGATATGTAGGAGCTCCAATCATCCAATCTAGAACAGAATAGTCAAATCATGAGTGACTGATTCCGAAATACAGATCAACGAGACACCAAAAAAAGACACATACTCCAGGGTTGTTGGCGCAGTAGACCACATAGCTATAATATCCTGATCCAATTCTGGCATCGTCACGGAAGACAAGTCCATAGGCGCGCTCCCGAAGGGGCATCCAGAGCCAGGTCTGGCCATGTATGATTCGAGATCCGCCGAAGTTACGGTTGGAAAAGCAGTAGGATTGGTCGGGAAATTTGTGGTATAGTTTAAGCTGTCGGCAGGTTCCCCATTACCGACTGACTGTTGTTGACGAAAGAACGCATCCAGCGCATAAGGGGCCATTCTAGTACAAGATGACACAGTCCCTGCCATATTCGATGGGGCAGTGGGAGGGAAGATGGACGGATCGAGTATGAAGGACGGTGGTCTTCCTTCCATTGAAGTCGGCATACTTGACATGGAAGGAGCGGGAAAAGTTGGCACAGTGTTAGGCTCCGTGACGGTCGATGGCATCGAATCCATGAAATTAAACTGCCCATATATCGGTAACCGGGCCAATTCATTGCTGTACATCGGCAACGCGAAGTTTGGTGTGGTCGGTACAACTTGACTCTCCGGAGGAGCAGTCGTAGTCTTTGACACGCGCCGCACTCCTGCAATGCTGCGCACTTCATCTGGTGGAGATGCAGGTGATGGAGAAGCAGATGTGGAGCTGGAGCTGGAGAGTGTTGTCGAGGTAAGGGTCGAGTCCTCCGCTTCTCGAGGCCGCTTGCTCCGTGAAGTCGACGGGCGACATGTCGCAGGAGGATCTGATACAGGTACATCGCCGGCATATGCCAATGCGGATAGGATATCCCTACCAAAGTGCTTTTCAATGATAGTGATGCATACGTGAAGCGAATTCTACCGACCTGAGTCGCCCAGCAAGCGCCCAACTGTAATCACGCGTTGTTCAATGATGGCCTGCATGACAAAGGATGAAAAGAACGCAGTGACGCACCGCCCCTCACACGCTTCCAAGATCTGTATACACCGCTGGACATCTTCCATCTCCCTCTTCGGGTTCGGCGCATATCCAGAGCGCTTCCCGCTCCAAATATTCAGTAACAAAATAACCGCCGCCGAAAACACAATTTTCTACATCCTCGGTCAATTACTAGCTACAGAACGAAAGTTGGCCCCACGTACCTGAAGATGCGCTAAAGGCAGCACGCTTAACCTCGAAAATGCCTCGAGGACATGACAGCAAGACCGTGCTGCATTGGTGCATATGGCCAAAGAAGGGAAAGAAGTCTGGAGGGGATTTCGCGGAGAGGGTATGAACGGCCGATGAATGAGCACTTGCACAGAGTAATATGTGGCGTGTAGGGTGGCGGACTGCTTCAGGAAAAGGCGATTGCCGCACGCTGGGTTCCATTTCACTATATATGCAAATAATGAGTTGGAGACGAAGAATCCCTTCTTTGCTTTACTTACGATGAGCAGGTACAGAATCCATCCAGTTGTTCAGTGCGGAATCAAGCTCCGCGATTATCTGCTGCTGGGAGCGCAGCGGGACATTGTCAGGTGCGCTTTTGACCCGTTTAATCGAATACTAAGCTATGCTTAATTCTAGAATCGAAGAATTTGATTACCAAGGAACTCACTACAAGTCGCATTGCAGAGGCCAGAATGTCGGTCAGGCGTAGGTAGGTATTGAAGAAGGCGACAGTGGATGGTTTCCCTGGGGGTTGATGGAATCCAGTTTCCCAGAACTCGTCATCGCAGTCAAGAGGAGGTCCGACGTCAAAGCTAGCGTACGGAGGTTAAGATGCGACAAAAAAATGAGAAAGAATCAAGGTCACCCACTCTTCATCCTGCAACCCACACGGTCTCCCAGACTCCGAACTGAGGTGTCTGTCCAAGCTGAGTATAATCCTTCTCGAAGGATGAAGGGTAAATACGGATACTCCGTGGGGATAAACGAGAGACGAACCAAAACGCTCGCTTCCAAAGCTCGTCCTCTGCGCTGGGGGTCCCCCGAATGTTCTTCTTCCTGTGTGCACCCACCTCCTGGGCCAGCCGTAGCGCGAATCCCAGTACGGCCCAGATTCCCTGCGGCATCTCGCTCGAACTCGCAAACAGAACGTACAGCTGGAAAAAGAAGCCAAAGCCACTCAGCAAACAACAACTAAAGTAATTGAATTGCCGACGATACATACCGTGAGCATTTGCAGTTCGTACAGGGTGGTCTTCTTGAACAGCGACTTGCGCATAGGGGAAACTTGCTCATGCCATCTCCATCCCGCACTCCGCGGCTCGGCTGACCCATCTACCAATACCCTAGGATCGTTTGAGTAACGCGCTCCGAGAGCGCAGACCTGTAGCAACGTGGCACCAAACATGGGATCAGAGATGTGCAAGTCCTCTCGGATGCCACGCTCGAATGTGGGACGATGGAGCAGTGGCAGGAAGTAGTTGATTTGTTCAAAGTACGCATCGATCAGGGAGGGCATGAGGTCCTGCGGTGGGTAGGTGTACGCCGGTAGGTCGATGCAACATTCAGGGTTATTGGACAACCACTGGTTCGACGACATTGAAAGCCGGAATAAGAATGAAGGCTAGAGGTGCGTACCGGCGGAATGGCCCAGAATTCATCTCGTCTGAAATGGTCATACTTGGGTAGGTCGACCTCTTTGCCTGTGTATTCCTTCTTAAGGTCCAAAGCGGTGAGGATCAATTGAACCGAGCTGAGGGTGTCAGGCGTGAAGTGAGACGCGTTGCTGGGCTAATCGTACCTCGACTGGCCGAAGAAGCGATTGAGCGGCGCGCTCAGCTTTAATTTGCTCAAATCGGTGGATAGCATCCTCTCCAAATGGTCGTCATCATTTCGTGATAAAGTCTGCGGGTCATCCTCTTCCTCTGCTTCTAGTCTATCAACTTCTTGATTGACATTGATGCCTGGGACAAGCTTTGACGCAGCAGGGATTGTTATCAACGGGAAGATGTCTGCGGGCAGAACATACCTTGTTCAATAAACGATCCATCTTTTCCAACCGCGCCTCAAGACTCTCGACATAGCTTTGACGGTGAAATTTGACCGCCGGGGAGAGGAGTAGACCCAGGTTTAGAACAAAACGTCTGATCAGCCCACAACTTCAGCTGGCATGGGTGGAGGCTCAAACCTTTTCGCCGAACCCAACGTCTGGATTCACCAGTTAAATGGCACGCGACCACATATAGTACCATGAATACGCACCTTTCCGACCTCTTTATGCGTACATTCTACGCCATACTGTACACAGTTCGTGCATCTGTTATCAGGCATCTTGCTGCTATTGCCTGGTCACTCGAATGGTGCGTGAGACGTCCTGAACGGTACGTATCTCTGCAACGGACTTACAACGAACTAGAGCCACATTTTATCAGTAAATCAGCCGCAGAACGAAAGAAAGACAGACAGTACGCACTCTTCTTACGCTTGCACAGGTCGCATGCCCCTGCAATCCTCCGTTTCTTGGACTGTGAACGACCTGACCCACTGCTGACAACACCAACATTCCCTGGAGGGCTTTCTGACTCAATATAGGGTAGTTCCTCCATAGTTTCCTGAGACATTCAAGTCAATGTACGAGGTTGAGGTGAAGCAGTGCAGCCGCAGTTTCGAAATCATCTTCCAAGAAGTTGGAGAAGTTGGCCGTTGATGCAAGCCGCCGCGTCGACCGGCACGGCAGCTATCCATGATGGCATCGTTCGCACGGTCACATTCGGATTAGATTAAATTAGCACAAATTAGCTACTTACACATCTAGATCTTATGAAGTGGTGGAATAAGCAACTCGTAAATAGACGGCACCATACGCCTGCGAAAATATTAGTAAAACTACGTGATCAACAAAGATGGAATGGGCACTGACACGTTCCGGTTCGAAGGAGCTTTTGTTCGTAATGTCGGCGAGCTATGTACTCGATGATATCAAACTTGTTATGTAGCGAGTTGGATGTCTTCCTGATCCCGGAAATCATGCGCCGCGGAGGATCCTCTGTCATCATTCGAGTACAGTCAGCCTATAGGTTGACATTCTGAAGAAAAGATATTGCACAGTCGAATCATTGCGCCTAAAATCCAAATTACCTACAGTAGTTTCGTTGATGTATTATCGTCTGATGCTCCCATACAGTACTAGGGCACAAGTAAGAACAGAAGTGGCAGAAATTAATCGTCCCTTGCTGAATGTAGTTGGTTCCTATCTTTCATCGTGTCAAATATTTTCGACCGCTCAGTCGGTTCAGGGACCACATTCTTACCATACAATCACGCTGACAGGTGAAACAAAAGAAGCAAGGACGAAGAAGCAAGTTTGTCGATCCTCGAGGGAAACTCAAGGGAGGCTGTCGTCTGAAGTGTGGTAACGGGAGACAAACCGTGTTGTCGGGCCGGGCGCCTAACTAGATAGGTACTTCGGCATTTGCCGTACAGGCTCAATTATTCGACTGTCGGGACAAACTTGTCATTTCTTTTGTCAACCATCATGCATCATGACTAGCAGCTGCTCTTCCCCCCTGCTGTCCAAAGGCCCAGCAGTGTGCCAGAAGTTTTCCTACGCTACACGAGCCTCCGGACTTTCACAAACGGCATTTTCAGCGCCTCGGGAGACAGAATGATTTTTCAAAGCAGTCACTGAAACGCAACGAAATATGGTGAAGGACAAAAACTATAGCATCCGACAACTACTGTGTAACTCACGTTGAGCCCTAGGGCCTGTTCTATAAGGTCACAAATTCTTTTCCGCCCTCTTTGGACAACACTAGAAATGCTTCTGAGTATCTTCATAGGCTCTCTTCCGCTTCTGGATGCTGGTAAGTCACTTCGTACTTATTTCTTGCATTTTCGAAGACTCAGCCTAGAAGCCGTTCCGCAGAACGCGCAGAAATCATCCATGCCATCTGCGGGTGCTGTAAAGCCTGCCTCCTGTTTTTGATTGTTCCCATACGAACTATCGCGGTTCCAAATCCCATCCTTGCCCATGGGAAACCCGCAAGGCACCATCATGGCTATGGCCGAACAGGCTGTTGCTCTCCGATATCCCTTATTTATTTTAATCTGGATACTGTGCCTTTTTGTATAACCCAATCCTACGTTGATTATAGTTTCTGTGGTGTACACCATATCAATGTTATCTAAGTAGCTGCCATGCGCCCCAAGCTACGGTCAACGCCAGCTAACCGTGTGGCGTAATTCCCTTTCTAAGGTGATTCGGTAGTTGCCGAGGAATATGACTGAACACGTGGATCTCGAGTAGTTCTCACAATCATGAAGAAAATGCCCTGGAAGTTGGGCCCAACGGCAAGGTTCAACCACGACTTGCAGTATATCAGTTAGGGCTGGCCGCCATGCACGATGCACGGAAGAAACAATTGCACCGCTATTCGATATGGTAGCTGTTTGCGAAGCTAGGGGGTATTCGGGTCGAGACGACTTGAAGCGCCACCTATGTTAACCTTTAGCATAGCTGTTAATCAGCGAATTCAATTCCGGTAAAGTAAGCACTCTTATACGTGTCTCTGAGGGACATAGTCGAAGCAAGCAAAAGAGTCAACGACCTACCCATGAGTCAAAGAACCATTGCCTGCGTCCTTCGAGGATTACGTTATTGGACACATTCAACTTGTTTTGTTGACACAAAATAAAAGTACAGTCTGGGTCAATAGTATATATAGGATAGAGACTATCCTAATTTACGGCTTTTCCGGCGTCGACGTGTTAGTGGGCGCGTTAATACCGATGATGGGGCTCAGCCACGACTCGTAATCAGCCTGATTGGCGGGGTTACCCGTCACTCTAAGCGCACGAATGAGAATTTTATACAGCCCATTTGGGATTCTCGTCCCATTTGCGAACACCGGTTCGTCTATTAATACCAGGCTAAAACCATTGTCATTCGGGTCCTGGAACGCCTCAATCAGCTTGTGCGTCAGATGCGAGGAAGACAAAAAATACTTCATTGTTCCGCGTAATATAGTCTAGCTCTGCGAGCGGGCCAATGGTCTTGACTTGTGCGAAGGAACCGCCCTTGAGACGGGGGAAAGTGAAGAGAGGCGGCTCGAGTTGACGCGGCGTGATAGTGGGCCGGAAGGTGGTGTTCGCATCCACAAGGTCGACATGAAACGCTGGGGTCCCGAATGCCAGCCTGTGTGGTCATCCGTGAATAGAACGCCATCATTTTAGCGTTGATTCGCATACCTCCACACAAGAGACGGAAGGTCATCTTCAACGAACGTGTAGTTCAGCGCACCCTTCTGGATATCACCAGCACTATCAAGCAGAGCAGGGGTGGGCTCCTCAAAGAACGTATTCGTGTCGTCAATAACCTGTTTATCCCTCAAGCTGCCTCGAAGACCGATGTACGATACGTGGAAGGTTTCGGACACGCTGGCGCCTGCAACTTGTATGAAGCCCGAGAAGACCGGGTAGGTCGACGGATCGAGAGTGGTTGGCAGTCTGAAGTTGACAGTGACGGTTTGGCTCCTGCCTGGAGCGAGTCTGAAAGATGTCGGCTGGATTGTCACGGATGCGTAGGTATCGGTGAGGGGGACCGGGCCAACTTCAGGGAAGATGGTGCCCTATCACAAGCAAGATGTCAATTGGCGGTATCACTGAGGAAATGGAATAGCATACGGCAACGATTGTCAGTGCTGTCCCGGCCGGGACATGGGAAACGCTGAAGCTCTTTGCAGAGGTGCCGGTATTTCTGACAGTGATGGTATGGCTGTTGAAAATAAATGAGCGAAGACGAAGAGGAAACAATGTATTCCGCCTTACCGAGGTACGAAGTGGACAGTGTCATTCAAGATTAACTCTCCAGGTGAGACAATCACATCCGCATGAATAGCATCGAACACATTGATCAACCCAGCGCCTTGCTGTGTAAGGGTCTGTAAAGGATCGCCATCCGTCTTGCTCGAAGAAACGTATTTCGCCGTCGTCTGGAACAGCGTCCGCGCGGAGTCCGTCACCGCTTTCGACTTTCCTTTCGCTTCTAGGAGAAGCGCGGCGGAACCAGCGACGAAGGGCGTCGCCATGGATGTGCCAGACAAGACGGCAAATTCACCGCGATTGACGGGAACAGTGGAGAGGATGTTGCCTCCAGGGGCGGCAAGAGCAGGTTTGAAGAAGAAATCGTTGGAGGGACCGTAGCTGCATCCAGGTGAGTGGTATTGGGAAGATCAGCCTCATAGGACAGCCTACCTGGTAAATCCGGAGATGAGGCCTCCTTCTGGGTCCGGGAACTCAGTTGAGGCACCGCTTTGAGGGAATGTGACAAAGATTGGTACGCCGGCAGCGAATTGGTTGACAAGCTGTTCGTACAATTAACATGTACATCAAGCAAGCATTCTGAGTTTGACTCACGAATTCACCATCAGGACCTTGGATCAGGACGGCTGTGGTGAAGTTTCCTGTTGATATTGCGTTGAAGCCACCTCCGTTACTAGATACCTTCTGTCAGAAAATGCGAAGAAGCAACTCAGACGAAGTCAACAAACTCATAAATAAGGACCCAATTTCCTCCTCTGGCTGCGATGTTGGTCAATTTCTGGACCTGTGGACGTGATAAACTTCAGTGACTTTACTCTCAGATGTAGAATGTGTGAAAAATATGCACAAAGGTGCAAGTACCACGGCGAACAACAGTCACGAAACCTGATAGGTCGGGGATACTGGGTGGAAGAACATCGCAGCCATCATCGACGACCGTTGTCGAGTTAGAGATCGCGAAAATAGGAAGCGTTCCGGGGACGGGCAAGGGAAACGTAGAGAAGTATGTGATAGGGTCACGTTCGACACCAACGACTGTCAAGTTTTGGAGAGGGATAACGACACTGTATTTCGATTAATTAATGTGTGAATGCATCGACCTCGAAGGGTGCTTACTTGTCCAGACTGGCGACAGAAATGGCGTTGATAGCAGTTCCGGGGCTGGAGGCATACCACGAACCAGAGGCCCCCTGCAGATAAACGGCGTCAACGCCTCGAAGGGCAACCCGACAACCAAGAGACGTACATCATTTCCAGCAGCGATAGTGACAATCTTTCCTTGCGCTGCTATCCGGCTTGCCACCACCGTGGCGGTGCCTTCTGTCCACCCCTCGGCACCTCCGAGAGACAAGGTGAGTATATCCTGGCCCTCGCTGACACCCCGAAGGAGGGCATCGACGAGGACTGCGTGGAAGGGGCATAGTTGTCAGATTTCGTCTAGAAATAGGGGAAACGATTGAACTAACCGTCATCGGTAACGAAGCCTCTGCATCCGAAAACTCTGTATGCGCAAATGGATGCTTTGTACGCCACACCGCTTATGTTGAATGGGTTTCCGGGATCGGCGCCGATGATGCCCTAAACAGGGAACCATCGATCAACTCTAGTACGCGACTTCAGAAGGAAGAAGAGAAGACTAGCTCACAGCGACGTGGGTCCCGTGCCCTTGTCCAAGAATACCAGTCAGATCATGACTAAGTTGAGAGAAGTACATTCAATACCTGCACATGTATCGAGAGGGTCGGGGTCCGGGACGGGCTTGTTTTCTCCAGTATAGGCGTCTCCGACGAAGTCGAACCCTCCAATGACCTTGTGGCCAGGGCCGAAACCGTTTCCCAAGGCGGGATGGTTATAGTCAATACCCGTGTCGAGGCTGTGGAGAGTTCATTTTGAATGGGCTTGGGCAGGAGATGATTGGACAAGCCGTACATTCCGATCTTAATTCCTTCGCCCAGGAGGCCTTCAGCGTGGAGCTTGTCAACGCCCTACATAAATGAAGTAAGCATCTGTGAAGAAGGGATCAGAGAGAAGCAGCTCACGGTGAGGACGTGGGTCGACTGCCCGTCCGCCGGAATGGAGGGATCGCGATCATCTGGTCCTGTCACGACATGGGACTTGACCGGGCTGTGAGAACGACGTCTTGGTTTAAAGAACATCGGAATCAAACGGGCTTGGAGCGTACTTGGGTCGTTCGTACCGCACGACAGGACGAATAGCCTTGATGCCTGGCGCTGTGGCGAGCGCCGCTGCATCCTCGGAGGTACTCAGTATCGACTGTGGAGAATTAGGAGGAAATTATATACTTGTGGAGTCTGAAGAGAGTATTGTTAGCGCCACGGAATTATCGTGGTAGGATTAATTTGACGTACGTTGACGGTCAGGGCAGCGCCGACGAATAGACCAGCAGAGTCGAACTCTCTATCGATGTCGAAAGCCACATCTCGTTCTTGAAGAGTCGCGTAAACGGCGTCAAGAGACTGTTGGGATTAGAAAAGAAAGCCGAATGCGGGATAGTATCTGCACTAACCCTTTCGAAAGAGCGCTTAGTTGGGATGTCCGACAGCTCATCGACTTCGATGATGAACTTGCTGGGGACGATAGGCACATTTGTTACTCTCTTGATACTGGAAATCGGGATGGCTCCCAGTGCAGAGCTGGCACAAATGGCTGCAGGAAGCAACGCCCACAATGCGGGAGACCTCATGGTGAGCGAATAGACCAGATCCCAAGAAGAATAGGTTTCTCATGTAGAGGAGGCAGGTCTTATATAGGCGACAGGCATAGGCATCGTGCATGCGACTCGGTGGTGGAAGCTCATTGTGATCCTTCGTTCGGACAGCTGCCGAAGCTTGATAGTCCAGCGTTGTGAACTCTGAGGTGATATGGTCTCATCCGTCCGAAAGAACGCGGGTCGCTCATGACTTCTGGTAGCTCTGACACGGCTTTAGGCCTGATGGTTCTGCCATTGGCTCAAGCAATTGCCCAGCATCGTGTAGGGACCATTAGAAGACGCAGCAAGAGAATCGGAGAAGCCCTGGGGCGATTACGTGCTCCGTCCACTGGGGCATATACCGGTGCTGCTTCTTCCCCGCCGTCGTTGCTTGCTACTCACCTGACCGGATTATCACTCGCGGAGAATCCGGAGGCTTATCGCGTGAGATGCGGGGTACTTTGAGGGCAACCAGAACCGTAGATAGAACCTTCCTATGGTAGTGGATATGATGCGTTGCCCTTGATGAGTTCAGAACCCCACCGCCATTCAAACAAAAGCAGCATTATTGACAGTGATGGCGGCGATATGGGCCAAGAGTTAAACAAAGGGTGGTCCTAAAAATAGAGACGAAGGTTTCAAATTTGCAGGCCTCCATGTGGATCGTTGTCTCAAACTATCATTTGTGAGAACGAGTGAGTGAAAGGCCCAAAGATTCGAATTCAGAAACTCACGCAATAATAATAAATTCTATTACACCGCGTGGATCCTCTAAGGATCTATGGGACAATGGAGTGGGAGTGCAACGACGACAATGTGATGCATGGTAAAATGAAGGCACTGGATGCAGGCGTGACCAATGATCGACGAAAGTATACAGATGTTCGGTGACGATGTAGCAGTCGAGGAAGGCAGCGGTCAAGAGTGGGCGAGAGGTGCAGGTATGAGGCTTCGAGTAGATGGTTAGGGGGACGAATGATGACGGAGTGGGCCTCGAATACAGATATGGGGTGAATGAAGCAAAGCACGACTGTTCCGTCGGGACTTGTCCCTTATCCTTCAATCGTCGTCATAGCGGAGGACGGAATGTGCGCCGAGCAGGAATGAGTACGTCGCTGGGTAGGTCTAGGGCTTCTGATGAGGTTGGGTGAGGGCCTCGACACACCGTTGCCATCCACGATGAGCAGGTGTCGTGCAAGGAAGGAGAAAGGGTTGGTAGAGTGATGTCTCGGATGCGAGACACAACGGCGAACGAGGTCGAGACCCGGGGGTGACTAACAGGACGTCGACACTGTGGTGGAGAGGTGTCATGGACGAAGATGGGTAGACGGCCAGGAGCATCCGATAGTTTTCAATTCGCGCCATTAGATTGTGAATGAGCTGTCCTCGTGGACTATGTACAGTTTTAGTTGAATAACTCATTCATTGCCAGTGAGAGTCGCTTCGATTTCTTAAGCAGCAATAACTAGAGGCAAGTCGTCACCGTCGTAGATGCTCTGAAGGAGAAGAACATCACCGAGTGGGATATCTGGGCCGCCTAGCGGGGGGACCAAATGTCTTGGAATGCGCTCACCGGTCAAAACGCGATATCGTGCAAATCGAGAGCCGAATGAGTTCCTTGCTTGGTAGATGGTAGAGGATAGAGGGATAGAGGATAGAGGAGGCATCTGTGTTACTTGGTAACTTACGACTCGGAAGCCGCCTTTACAAAGGACCCCGGATTATTCCTTCGGAGGTAGGTTGCCGGTCAACCCGCGAAAGTGCCTGTAGAGCGCCGGAACTCAGATATTATTTGGCGGGCGTCAATTACCCGTCGGGCCACAAAATGGAAAACGAACCCAGGCAACGATTGACAAGTCAAGACATTCCACCATCGTCGTTGACAACCAATCAGTTAAATATTGAGTGTAGAGAGTCAAATCGAAGTTGAAGTCGAAGGAAAAAATGAAGCATGCACGTCTTTTTGAGCCCTAGATGTCAAGAGTGGCAGATTAGTTACATGTTGATGAAAGAGAAAAAATAAGAGGAAGACTGACCTAGACAGTGATCTGCAACATCAGTATCGACAACAGGGAGCTGATAAATATGACAAAGGCAAAGGAAGGGGGATTTGCATGTTTGAAGAGACAAGGCAAAATGAGACGGGAGAGCAAAAAAAAGAGGTGACAAAGTAGAGAAATAGTCCAACAGAAAAGAGTCAAGTTTGTCGAGCTCGCGACAGATACCTCAACTTACTCAACGAGAGGGTAGAGGAAGCATCCAGGGAATTTCTCCTTGATTAGCTTTTCGAGCCACCAGTATGGAGTGAGGTACGTAATGTCGGTCTCATCAGTGGGACCTCCACCACCAGTGAGGATCCCAATGATGCGGCCATCCCTGCCCACGACGATGGCACCAGAATCACCAGGGTCGGAGAACTTGGTGTACTTGAGGTTCGACGTGTCGTAGCCGAGCACCGCAATTTCGATAGACCTTGTGGATGTTGTACTCTTTATAGTGGCGGGTGAAAGACTCCAAACCATTAACACGACCAAAGGTGGTACGTGTGGATCGACCGTGCTTGGTGCAGAGCAAGGCCTTCATGTTGTGAATATCGAGGTCCTGGGGCTTGTTGAATTCGGACTCAGGAACAACGCCGAAAGCCTGGAGGAGGCCGTTCTCGGGCAAGTTGAATTTCTTTCGATCAGTAGCCCGGGGGAACATGAGGTTGGCAAAATCGGCTGCTGTCTGATTCCCTCCTGTGGAGGAAGGAAAAATGATTGTCAGTGAGAAGTTAAGACAACGAGGAGGAAAAGAAAGACGTACTGACGTATATCTTATTGCCGTTGAAACTCTCCCAATCTATCATCTCGCGGTCTATTTCGATGAAACTCCAGTCTTTGGTAAACTGGTGGGCTCCGACAGCGACCTCGATCTTCTCGCAATGTAGAACAGAGCCAATGACTCGCTGCATAGCGGGAATACGGTATTTGGTAACCCCGCCGTGGAGCTTGTTCGCTCTGTCGATCTTCTTCCTCGCCGTCTCTATCAAGTTCTTGATCTCGTTACGCTGATCGGTTCTGAAGGGGTCTTCTCCTTTGACCTCGTCTCCCAGCTTCTTGAGAGACTTGTTCCAATCTTCGATGAAGATGACCTGGTCGCCGATCTCCTTCATGATGGCCGTTACGGCTTTCTCAAAGGCAAAGGTACCGAGGGCGATGATATCCTCGCGAGCCTCGCTCGTCTTCGTCCGCGTCATGGTCGTGTTTTGGAAGAGGGGAGGGGGACGGGCAACATGGGCGCAGGTGAGGAGCGCGACCCGGTCGTTGTCCTTGTTGAGGCGGAAATAAAGAGCGCCGGTCCCTTCGAAATTAGGAGACTTTAGGGGTGCGATCGGTAGACTTAGAGCGTGGCTGAAGTCCTTGCGAAGCTTAGGGTCAGGATCGAAGGGAGGTTCGAACGAGAGGAGCTTGGGACGGGCGGAACGATGAAGACGGGATTCGATAAAGGCCACTTGGATGCCAGGAAAGCCAGCGTCCTTGAGGATGCTGAGGACGGCATCTCCAGCGGCAACGGCATCATCGTAAAGGAGGGAGTAAGGCTCGACGCCAATGGTAATGACGAAGGGGCAGAATGGATTGGCCTCTCCAGCGTCGGCGTAGGCGAGGGGATTGATGGCATTCCAGTCCACCTTGAGAGAGTCGAGTTTGGCGACGATGCTCCACCCAATAGAGAGCCAAAAAGGGCGAATAGGGTGATTGTAGATAGGACGAGCGGCTCGGTATATCCCCTGGGCCTGGTTGCCCGAGCGTTTGTGCCACTCAGGTCCAGTCTTATAGATACAAGGGGTCATACTACCGTAAAAATCCGTATAAGCGTTGGCATATTTATCGGCCAGTCGGGGAATGACCTCGGAGCTGATGACGACCTTGGACAAGGATGCAGGGGTAGAGGCGAGTGTGTCAGTGGAGGAAACAGGTGAATAGTTCCCAGGCTGTTTGGAAACGTCCAAACAGGCCTCGAGGAATTCAGGCCCCATGTCGAGGTTGAGGGTGACAACAAGCGACTCTGTAGGAGGAATAACAACTATCAGTAACGATAAGGAAAGAAGTGGACGAAAGGGAACTTACTGGTGCCCATCTTAGAGACTATTTCTTCTTGG